GTATTTTGTTTTCAGCACAGAAGAATTCTGTGCCCTGCGGTAGGGAGTGAATCTCTTTCTTACATGCAGCCATGTATCTATCAGCTGTGGCTGCTAACCTGTGTGGGTAATGTAAAGGCTAACTGAAAAATCAATGGACAGTGAAGGTAAGTTTCATTACATTCTCTCTCTCTCTTTCTGCATTTGAGGGAGTTAACACAGGTAATTTAGTTTTATTACAAAGAATGCTAATGTCCTTTTGGAAACTTATAATTGTTTCTTGAAGGTAATTTCTAAGGAGCTCCACTCGTGGGATGTGGACAGGATTTTTCAGTCTTTGGAGAGAAACTCCCAAATCGCTCAAGAGAAACGTGGTATGGATCTAAGCTATCTGAGTCACTCTAGAATGCATGGTTCTCCCCTCCTTGACAGTGCAGCACAGTGCTCTGGAAATAAAGGGCCTGGCTCTGGGCCATACATACCTGGGTGCTGGAGTACCTGTCTATCATGTGGCCCTGGTTTGGTCCCCAGTACCACAGAAGGGAACCTCCCCTCCTTGACAGTGCAGCACAGTGCTCTGGAAACAAAGGGCCTGGCTCTGGGCCATACATACCTGGGTGCTGGAGCACCTGTCTATCATGTGGCCCTGGTTTGGTCCCCAGTACCACAGAAGGGAAAGACTGAATCACAGAAACTGGAGGGCTGCAGCGAGGGGTCCAGGAGGACCTGCTGGGTGAGTCTCCTCTTACCTGAGCTTCCATGCGAGCCCGCCTCTCTTCCTCCTCTTTCCTTTTCCTCATGTTCTCATTCTCCTGTTTCGCTTCTGCCACAGCTTGAAGAAACTGGTCAAATATCCCAAAGAACTCATCTGGCTGTATTTTGCCAGCCTCTTCCCCAAAGTGCTTCACTGCTTTAGTGAACTGGAGAAAAAAATTTAAAAAAAAAAAACAAGAAAAAGAAGAACTGACTCCACAGTCAAAATGAATTCTCCCTAGAAGGCTGAAAGCTCAAATATAACTGAAGGATTTTAGCAGCCCATTGTTTCTCTTCAGCCACTGAACACACCTACTCATCATTTGCAAAGCTGGAAACTGAATACTCCCCAACTTCTGAAGCCATTGTATCCTGTCCATTTCATTTCAGCGTAACATCTATGGTTTCCACATACAACACTGTCTTAACTAAACAACAGTAAACACAAGAAGGCAAAATACTGCAGGACAGGACACCGGAGACCCAGAGACTAAAAGCAAGCACAGCAGGGGTCGGAAACCTTGTACTTTAAGCTTTCCTTTGAAGTAGTTTAATACCATTTATTGGGGCCATATGGTGAATATGAAAAACAAATGGGACCCAGGACTTCCCAGCTGCTTTTTCCTATCCATAAATAATGCTAATGTTGTCTTTAGGCTGCCCCAGCTCTAATTAGGAAAGAATAACTGACTGTGGAGTCATTAATGGCATCCAAAGTTTCTGATTGAGATTACTTTAGGCCAATCCTACAATGTTCTCAGAAATTCGTTTAATGTCTCTTTCTAAAGCTGACAAATACAAAGTTAGGGATAATTTAAAAAATTTAAACAAAATGTAAAGTAACAAAACAGTATGTGCAGTTTCTTTTCAAACCTCTTAACTGTTTCTGTCTTTTGTTCTCAGAGGGCTTTCCTTAGTAACTTGGAGAGTTTGCTATCCCAAGTCTCAGCATCACCTGGACTACCCCAGGACAGTGCCATTACTGTCAGCACTGAGCTCCTGTGGTGGGAAGGGCCCAGGGCTGCTGGCCCTGTGCAGCCCAGCTTAGAGACCAGGCTTCGTACTCAACTGAATTCTCTTTCCTGTGCTACTCAACTACATTCTGATCAGACCTTATTCAGATCACAGCAATTCCATGGTTTCTAATTGGCTTGATTTTTCTTGCATTATTGTTAAAGCTTCTGATATTTTAGTAATATTATGCATGTTTTCAATGTTCTTATAGATAACAATTTTGACTGATATGCATATTTGTACATATTTCATAATAATTTTATTATTTTAAATTTAGTTATCATGTGTATATATGTGTAAGTGTGCAGGTGCATGCGTGCCATGTGGAGGTCAGAGGGCAACTTTTAGAGTCACTTCTCTTCTCCTGGTGGGAGGTCATCAGGCCATCAGGATTGCATGCAAAGTGGTTTCACTCACTAAAGCATCTCACTGGCCCTCCTATTTTAAAATATATTTTCTTCCATTTCTCTTAATGTGGAGCTGTTCTCAATGTTTTACTTATTTGGAAATATTCTATTACAAAACAGAACTCTTTAGAGAAAAACATAACATTCTTCATGCACCACATTAGAGTAGTCTAGCTTGATTCATGGTTTTATAAGCTTATTTCTAAAAGTTCTGGAATGAACAAAACAGCAATAAACGGTCTACAGCTGAGCTCCTAAAATATTCAAGTTCATGCACTTTAAGCCATCATGGATGATCTTTTTATCTAGGAATTCTAGTGATGATGAAGTCATGTATATTTTAGTCTTAGAAATCCAAAAGAACCTCAGGCTAGATTAATGTTCCCACATACAAAAACACGGGGTTCTCTGCATGTGCGCTTAAATAAATAAATAAATAGCCCAGTTGGTTCTGTATTTTGGCTCCTTGATGAGGTAGGTCATAGGTCAGGACTCCAGGATAGGGGACCCCTTCTTTTACAAACACAAGAAAGAATAGGATTCTCATGATGGCAGTTTGGACCACACCCATGGATACTGTTTGTCTTGTTTCTGCTGTGGTGTATCAGAGGTGGATCTCTAATGGTGGCCATGTGGCACATACTGCCTCCTTATTTATTTGGTATGCCTGGAAGGTAGTACTGAGATTAGCTGATGTTTGTGAACACAGCCTCTGAACTTGAGATCAATAAACCACACCAAATAACTCAATCTGATCACTGGGAAATAATGCCTACTACTCAAGTTTGAAGGAGAGAATGAAGTAAAAGGAGTATGGTGGCAGCTGAAAGATTGTGCAGGTTAGTTTTTGTCAACTAGACATATCTGGGATGAGCGGCACTTCAACTGAGGAATTGGCTACAACAGTCTGGCCTATGGGCAAATCTGTGGGGAGCATTTTCTTGATTAAGGATTGATGTTGGAAGGCTGAGCCCACTGTGGGCAGTGCTATCCTTGGGCAGATGGTCCTGGGTTGAATGAGGAAGCAAGCTGAGCAAGCTGTGGGGAGCAAGCCAGTAAGCAGCATTCCTCCATGGCTTCTGCTTCAGTTTTTGCCTTGAGTTCCTGCCCTGACTTCCCTTCATGTAGACAGTGATTGGTGTACATAAGCCAAAGAAACCCTTTCCTCTCCAAGTTGTTCTTGGTCATTTTAGCATAGCACCAAAAAGCAAACTCGGAGATGGGCAGTGTAGAACTCTGGTGAAGAATGGGCCTAATATCACTCATGAATAGTAAGAGGGTACTTGAGGGAAGATATACCAAGGGAGCACGATTAGAAGTCTTAATTATTACATAACAAAAGGTCATCAGCCTTTCTGCACAAGAAGAGTTTAAATAGAAAGAACCACAAAACAGAAACATCTTACTAAAATAAGGTTCCTTTGTAATGAGACTGTGATGTGAAATGCATCTGTTAACATGCCCCTCATATTTTCAGGGACAGTATCCTGTCCACTGGAGGCTCTGTCTCAGATGAGCTTCCTACACAGAGATATGTGACCTTATACGTGCTCCTTGATCTCATCACTTTGCTTTCAAAGATGAGCATATCAATCTAATGTAAACCAAGGGAAAGGTGCCACCATCCCAAACATTCAAAGCCTTGCACAGGCAAAAGGCAACAGAGGACAGTTAGACACGAAGGGCTACCCTGGAGACAAAAATACAGCTGTTCCATGGAACAACGGAATCTGGACAACAATTCTCGGCTGCTGCATTTCCTGGCTGTGATGTTCGAACACTACTCTTGCTCCTTCCCAAACAGGCACACGGAAGCTCAGGCCTGAAGGACCACATGAGTAAGTACACAGGGAAATTTACCAGCTCCTTAGCTTCCGCCAGAAGATCTTCAACATCTGAGAAGCTGAAGCTAGCCACAGTGATGAACTGGCTGACAACGGACACGAACTTGTCTCCAGGCTGGGGGGGCTGAGACTTCTGGTACTCCAGCTCCTGGAACATAGGAAGCAGATGCTGATGGTTGCATATGCACTTACACCTTGCCTCTTATTCTACAGGACTCAAGATGAACAACTCAGATAGCAAACGCCTCTGAACGATCTCATGTTACTCCATTTCCCCACCTTTCCTTTCCACACCAAGGCCATGCCTGTGTGCACAGACATATCTGAAAACAGCCACTTAATTTTCTGAGTATTTTACCAGGGTGATTTCTCACTCTGGCTTTAGAAGCAAGTTAACATTTAGTTCAAATCAACAGAACCCAAACAAATAGCAGGAGCACATTGATTCAAAGTATGTATGAGGGGGAAAAGGCTGAACCTGTTGGTTGATGTTCTGGTGCAGAATTATGGTGTCTTCATTTTTCTCCCTCTCCCTTCTTCTACTACTTCTATTTACTTCCTAAACCATGGTATCTAGGTCAGCAGAACTGCGGCTGACGCATGTGGCAACATAATCATCCCTCCCTTCTTGCCCACACCAATAGGTTTTGGTGAATAGGTAGGTAGGAAAATGAATCTTTTGTTAAGTTTCCATTTTCTCCACTACCACATAGATGACTGAAGTCAAATTTCAGTAATGAAGTCCAGCTATTTTGAAACACACATTCTTAACAGTTCCAGTACCCCAACATTATTATCCCCATTGCACAGACTCATGGAGCTTAGAGGAATTTAATTCTCTGCTCAAAGTCAAGGAGCTGATCAATGGCAAAGGCAGAATTTGAGCTCAGTCTACCTGCTCCAGTCTTGGCAATTACTTTGGTAAGTGCACCTGACTGACTGACAATCACAAGTCTTTCCTGTCCCCTCTTTGGCTAACACTGCTCAGCAGGAGGGTAGTGCTCAAGGGCTAAGGGTTCTGATTCAGACTACTGCTGACATGTTCTTAGTGGTAGACTGCTCTGGACCTCAGTACCTTCCATTCTGAGAGGACAATATCCATATGACAGTGAAAATCAAATGAAATGACAAGAAAAAAAAAAACTCATAAATTATGGAGCCAGCTCTGACAGGAAGATATCACCACAGTTTTAGTACCTTGGTCTAGAAGTGTGTGCATACACGCATGTGTGTTTGTACTGGTGCAGGGATGGTGAGCAATCTTAAAGGGTGTAATTATCCAATCACTATATCCAGATTTATCTCTGATACTTCACACAGCATCACTGACTTGTACAAAGCGAAATTAGAACACACGGATATTTGGTGAGTTTAGCTCTGTTGCCTCCAAATATGTCCAATTATAGCTAGTTATTTCAGCTGCCAGGGGCAGAGAAAGGCTTCTGCCCTAGTTGGTGTTTTTGTTAACTTGATCCAAGGTAGGGTCATTTGGGAAAAGGGAATCATAATTGAGAAAATGTCCCAACTAGATTGGCCTGTAGAGATTATTTTTAGGGTATTTTCTTGACTAATGATTAAAATGAGAGAGCCCAGCTCTTTGTGGCCTGTGCAACCCGTGGGCAGGTGATCCTGGGTGGTGTAAGAAAGCAGGCTGATCAAGCCATAAGTGGAAAGTCAGCAAGCATTATTTCCCCATGGCCTTTGCTTCAGTTCCTGCCTTGAGATCTTGCCCTGACTCTTGTTGAAGTTGTAATATGGAAGTGTAAGTGAAATAACTCTTTCCTCCTCCCTAAGTAGCTTTTGGTCATGGTGTTAGCCACAGTAGAAAGAAACCCAAAGACAGCTTCTGCAGTCCCTTTCCTATGAAGAGCATGGTGCAGCATGTGCCTGCCACCCAGGAGATGATGTAGCATGTGCCACCTGGGAGATGCAGCACAGTAGCTAATTTAGCAAGCAAAGCCACAGCACATCCCTGGAACACCACACTGACCTGGCCTTGGTCTGTGCTAACTCAGACACAGGGCTCAGGAGTATCCATAACCTGTCTTAGGGATGGCACAACTGCCACCCGTGTCTCAAGAAAGCCTATATGAAAAGGAAATAGGAACCACTGAAGTTTCTCAAGCATTACTGGCCAAAAATGCCCTGGGAAGGCTGGGCCTTCTGAGATCTGTGGAGGGATGTCCAGGTAGTCATAGCATACTTCTTTTATCTCCCTTTAGTCCCTAGCCCTCAAAACCATGCTCCCAAATCTTAGTGGGGAAAAAATTAAGTTTTTATTAATACTGTCTTCGTGAATTCAATACGGTCTAGGGTATAGGTTTGTGATTAAAACAAGAGAAACAGTTTAGTGATAAATGACCTGCAAGGGTATTTAAGAGAGGGGCAAATTTCAGACTGCTTCTGAATCAGTAACCTCACCCAGTACAGACACAGCCAACCAGGCGGGGCTGTGAGAGGTGGCTCTCATCCCTGGACTTGCTCCCTGGCAGCTGCATTCACGTAGCACCCCCATGGTGCTGTCCTAGCACAGCTGTGCCACATTCTTCCAACTCCTCTCGGTCTTCTGACACATTCCTGTGGTTCCTTTTCATCTTTCCTATCTGGGCAGCCGCCCTCCTGTGTACCCTTTTACACCATCCTGCTTCTAAGCTGTAACTGGAGTTCATCTCCTCCAGCAGGAGCACTTCCTCCAGAACATGTTAGTCAATCACGAGCCTCCAGGCCAGACTCCATCCAACCCGTTCACCTTGCTCCTCTTTGATCACTATGCTTATCTAGACAGGGTCCTGCTGAGGGAAATGGTGCTCTCAGCATTGCAGCATTGGAAGGCAGGGACTCTGGGTCACCATGGCCTTGTGCCTTGGACACAGTATGCCCAAGTGTGTGTTTGGTAAAGACTCCCCAAAGGGCCTGCTCAAAAGAAGTTGCATCAGTCTTTGGAAAGTCAACATCTAACAGTAATAGAACGTGTAAATCCAGAGGGTCCTTGACGATTGCCTTACCTGGGCCTCTCATTCTAGGGAGGCTGACTTCCCAGGTAAATTGGTGGCCCCCCAGGCCCACTTCCAGCTCCCACTGCAGTGAGCCACTCAGGACATTTGGCTGCATTGAACGAAGTTGCCACACTGGGCATGACATGTGTCTGCTTCTTGGTGGTCATTCTGTCTTATGGAATCATGTTTACCCTGGGCAGAGCACATGCCCAGGGTGCTTGCTCAAGGTCAGCACACCAACACACTGGTGGAGAGACTGGCGGGGGCAGGGGAAGCAGGTACTCACCATCTCCACTGCTTTCAGGCCGCCTCTCAAGGTGCTTATCTCTTTGTCCAGCTCAGTCATGCTGTCGGAGAGAGCGACATCTTAGCAGTCAGCACGAAGATTACAGGAGTAAGACACCAGGGCTTGAGACAGCTGATGCTCGGAGTGTGTGTGTGTGTGTGTGTGTGTGTGTGTGTGTGTGTGTGTATGTTCGTTTAAATGCTTAAAAATCCAGGGCCAGTGAGATGGCTCAGTGGGTAAAGGTGCTTGCTGCCAAGCTTGACAACCTCAGTTTACTCCTCAGGACCCACATGGTGGAAGGAGAGAACACACTCCACAGTTGTCATGACTTACAAAGACTTGTCATGGCACATGCATGTATACACACACACACACACACACACACACACACACACACACACTGATAAAATGAAAATAAGTTCTTCCTTTTTACTCTCAGATGTCACAGAAGCTACAGCATTTAAAAAGTATATGGAACTTATATTTAGAATTTTTCTGTATATTATTTTTGGTTTTGTTTTCTTCAGTCAACAGGTATATCTTACAGGTTAAAAATATAAGAAAAATGTTTCCCATGTTCACAAAAATATTAGATGTTTGAGTCACAGGACCTCTGCTTCAGCACATTGCTGTATGGAGGAATGAGCACCTGCCACACTTGGCTCTTTAAGACAGTGGCTCCCTGGAACCCCACACCTTCCGGGCGCGACTGCTGCTGCTCACCACGCGGCAGTACTGCAGACAGCACTTAGCCTCAAGCAGCAGGCCTTTTTCTGAGAGTTGTCCTGGTCACTTTTCATTGTCATTGCCTTCTTTGTTTTTCAGTGGAGAAAGACTTTCTATTTCACAGCTTTTAAGCATTAAAGATTAAAACTCAATTCTCACAGAGAATTCTTACCACACCAAGGCACTTGCCAATACTTGATTTACTCTAATAGATTGGTTTCTTGTGTTACCTATTGTATTTCCTACCAAGTTCTACAGAGGGAGATAATTAGCCTAGTCATTCAAGGTTGTAAATTCACTGCAAAAGGCACAGCTTAGATATATGTCTATCAAGGGGAGCAGGAACAGCAAGGAAAGCTGCCTGTTTCCATCTCTGAAACATAGCACAAGATTTGTGGGGAAAGTCTGGCGACTTTCCATTTTATTTTTAGTTTCTCCATTTGCATAAAGACTGCTTCCCATTAAAGGGTTGCTTGGTTCCAAGGAGTGTGTGTATCTGTGAAAATGACTGGCGTCTCCCTCACATGGAAGCTTCTATTTGCTTCACCATGTGCCCTCCTTTACCTCAGGGTTACCTGTGTTTAATAGAGCTGTTAAAAGCCTTGGTGAGACTGAACCTTTGGCCTTACATGTTAGGCAAGTGTCCTGCCACTTGGCAACATCGTCAGCCTTCATTTATTTGTGTTGAGCCAGTTTCCCCTCAGTTGTTCAGGCCAGTCTTGACCTCACTTTGTAGCCCAGGCAGGCACTGAGTTTGCAACCCTCCTGTCTCTGTTTTCTGGGCCAGAGATGCTGGGATTACGGGCCTGTGCCAGCAGGCCTGGCTGCTTATGCTCTGGCTACCAAGAAAACCAGGTTTTATACGACGGGGCGGTGAGTATTCCAAAGGACCTAGAACAAATATATATCCTTTAACACATTTGAATGGTTTGGGTGTGATTCAAGCTTTCTTTCATACAGTGTTCAGAGGGAAGGAAAGAGAGGGACCTCTTCACCCATTTGCACTTTGGTGCAGTGCCAGCTAAGCGTCCCATGCTGCACAGTCAAGCTGGTAAAAGGAAAGCTGTCAGCATACTCACTTGACTTTGGCTGCTTGAGGAATATCCCGCAATTCTTCATGTAAATTGAGGACTTTGGGGTACTTATTCTCCACAATAGTTATTAGATAGTGCAAAAGGGTAATGTTCCTAAAATTAAAGAAAAGGAGAACATTCAACATGATTAATCTGCATGATTTATATACTCAAGGGGCAGGAACCAAAATACATTAAGAATTGGTAGAGTGGCCCAAGAACAGTTGTTTAACCCATTATGGAGGGCAGTTGTTTGGAAGCCTAAAACTACTTTGCAAGTTGAGAAGAGCTCACTGTTGTAGTCACTGGTGATGTTCTCTTAAGGTTTCATCCGAAGAGTGGTTGGACAGAAAGTCCCTATTTCAGAGCTGCTGCTGGAAGCTTACTGTAACTGTGCCATTACACATATAATGTCCTTGCAGCTGTGAAATCAATTCTAATTTTAGCAGTTCTTCAGTTCTTAATTGCATGACCCTTAGTAGTTATAACAGCTGTTGGTGCCATTTCCCTGTCTGGTGATGACAGGGTTGAACCTTGACTGACCTGGGTTGGGAAGGGGGATGTCTGATAATGCTATCGCACAAAGCTGTGTCAGTCTGGTCCTGCTGTCACCAGTCCTACTGCACATTATAGTCACCTGGACTCCAGATGCCCGGGCCAACACCAGAGGGCCAGGTGTGGATATTTATTAATTTTCCCAGGTTAGTCCAACTCAGATGAAGAACTACTGATCTACTGAAGTTGTTAGAGTTAGGAGTATACAAATACCATTTTAGTAATATTTCCATAACTAGGCAGTTTGCTAATTCACAAGGCTAAGCCACAATCCCCCATCCCACCTAGATCAAATTGAATTAGAGTTGCATAATGTAAAGTATTTCCAGTATCCTGTGGCTTTACCCAGGCAGTACAATCCTATTCCCAAGTCAAGGGTTCCAACAGGTTCTTTTCTTTAGTTTTGGTCCTATCAGGAATTAGGAAAAAATTTCCACCAATGCAAATAGTGGCCATTATTCTGACGCCTCAAGCTTCTGTGAGCTTGCTACATCTTATTAGTCAAGGATTGCCATTCCTAGAACCTACCTGTTTACCCTGGACTTCTCTCCCAAGGGACGTGGGTGGGAACAAAATGCCAGCAACTATCACAAGAATGCTATTTTCTTCATTATTTTAGAGAAATGCCTTTCTTTAACTAGAGAAAGTCCCATTAGTTTAACTGGACTGTATGTGTTTTCAAGAATTAATCCCAGGCTAGGCTGCCACATCTTTTTGTTACACATGTAATACTCATTTACCCAAAACAACTTCTTGAAGAATGAACAACTGAACCACTACACCTGAGACTAGTCCTGGTGGCTATTGAATCAGCCCTTTGGTGCTGACTGCACCATCACTTGAACACTTTGACTGATTCAACTGAATACACTGATTCGAGTGAATGATCAGCTACTCACTGGTCAACCACTCCACCAGGCAACTGTGGCATTATATATCCTGGTGCTACATTTGGGGACCTCCTTCAGAAGCAGACAGAAGAGGAAAGAAATTTTTATTTATTCTTTTGAAAGAGTCTGTACATGTAAATTCTATAGTCATTTTAATCAGCAGATGGCCACATGAGTACCAAGCCATCGGAAGGTGTGGGGATGGTGGATGTTGGATTTTGTATGTGTTTGTGTGTGTGCATGCAAGCAAGCAGTTGAAGATATGGTCCTTTCAAAGACAGTTGTTCTTTACATGCAAATAAGAGGCTGCAGGTCCCTATTACAAACCACAAACAAGACCCACCTATGGGCAAAGAGCAGCACTGTGGGTTGACCTGCAGATGGGGGTTAAATCCTTCCCCAGGCAGCATGAGGAGGTAGTGGGGGGATTAAGCCACTTGACATTGCCTCAGTTGTCTTATCTGACAACATGTGGTAAGTAAGTTGGCCTGTGTACTGACAAGGTATTGTGGCAAATGTGAATGTGCTCTGAAAAAGACTGAGGCACCCATTAAAATGAGGATGGCAGAGTTTTATATAACACAACAGTACTTGTCACTCTGTCTCCATGATGCAAAAATAACAGCTTAACACATGGCTTATTTCTTTTATCAAGGACCGAGGGCTGCTATATACCATGCTTCACTAACCCTATAGAAAACATAGGGTAAAAAGTCTCATTAGCAAGGAGTAATTAGGGAGAACGGTCCATCGTGCTAAAAGGATTTGGCTCCAAGAAGCTTACCTTGGGAAGGACTGTGAGAGTTCCTTTGAAGCCAGTGAGAACCTCAGGGAAACAAAGCTCTTGGGAAAATTCGAGTTAATGTGCGTGATGACCCTACCTGCTAAGGACACAGGAGCTGGCATCTCAGTGCCTCTGACCAGAATCTGTTCACCTCAACTGCAGTGCTGTGCACTTCCTAGGACACATTTTAATGAGCTTTAGGCTGTGCAGCTGAAGATTAGCAGGCAAATGCATTCATGTGGCTGTTAGCGCCAGCCTGAGACTAAAAGGCATATTCCTGGGTGAGCTCAGTTTTCTCCTTTCTCTGAAACAGTTCTCTGTGGAGGGTTGGAGACGAGAGATGTCATGAGGCATCCAGAGCTGGAGTGCTAATTCTTGGTTTGGGCTGTATAGAGGTCCGTCAAGACTTCTTTTTAGTATATGACACTATACTTAAAAGTTCAAAATTTTTAATTTATTTATTTACTTATTCATATGTGTATTGCGGTGTGTGTGTGTGTATGTGTGTGCACTCATGTGTGCCCACAGATGAAATGGCATGTTTGTTGGGTCAGAGGACCTTCTATCATGTGGGTTTCAGGGACTGAACTCAGGTCCTCAGTCTTGGGGCAAGCACCCTTACCCACTGAGGCATCATGCCAGCCCGATGAGTTATTTATTTATCCCTTTACTCATTACTCATTTTAAAGGCAGCCAACAATAGAAAGCTTTGGAGTAGATCAATGGTTTTTCAACCTGTGGGTTGCAACCCCTTTTAGGTGTTGAATGACCCTTTCATAGGGGCCGCCTAAGACTAGAGGAAAACACAGATATTTACACTGTGATTCATAATAGTAGCAAAATTATAGCTATGAAATAGCAACAAAACTAATTTGATGGTTGGGGTCACCACAATGAGGAACTGTACTTAAGGGTGGCAGCATTGGGAAGGTTGAGAAGCACTGGAACAGATAGTGTTTCTATGCACTGATAATGGATGAAGCGCCTCCAGGAACTTGACGGCTGCGTCTGTTTGTGAGGGGAACGAAGAGCAGAAGCGCACCCTGAAAGCCCCGAGCTGCAGTGTTCAGTGGGGTGCTATGAAAGTCACGTTCTATAAAACACCTAGATGCTCCAAGTGCTGGAGGGTCCCACACTTACTTGTCAATACTGGATTTTGTGTCGGCGATCTTGTTGAGGCTGGAGATTTTGAATCCATACGCGTTGCCTCTTTGTCCTTTATTCATATAATTTCCAAAAGCCAAAACAACCTCTAGGAGCTGCTTGAGGGCGCTGCTTCTGAACACCTCCTCTGAGCCAGAACGAATCGCTTCAGAGCAGAACACACAAGCACAACAGTTACTGCCAAGGCTTTCAGTTATGCCTGTCCTGAATCCATATACCCTAACAGACATGGACAATGTCAGAGTGTGTCTCTGGTCTGTGACTGAGAGCTTTCAAGACATGCAAATTAGAAGTACAGTTAACAGCTATCATGTAAGAGATTCCATAAAGAATGGCAGAATTCCTCTCCTTTCTCAGCCCTTCTCTGGACTGACTCACTAACCTTAAGCATTTAGGAATGGAATACACAACATACATTTCCATTTCCAGCATTCCTTTGCAAAACTCCCTTGCCTCACGTGAGTCAGATCAGTGAGTGAGTCAATTCTACTGGCCATCTGCTACATGGATGGTTTGCAGGTATTACATCAGGGCTGGGAGTTCAGACTCTGATTCTGATATACATTCTGTAACTTTGCTCTTTAATACCATCCACATCGCAAACATCTGTAAACACAACAGCCTAAAAATCTACCCTTAGAAAATCCTAGTAAGGCAATGCTATGAGAAGGATAATTATAGGCTCAATACTAGGGAGTGGCAAATTTATCCCTTAGCCACATTCATGCGGTCAAAAACCCAGTCCCTTGGAGAAGCTCAGGGGGTGTGCAGCAGCTCCAGGGCCCAGGCCAGGCCAGAGTTTGCAAGATGTAGACCTTATATGACCACCCACTGGAATTTCAAAAGATTTCCAGCTAAACATCACCAAAGCAATTCTGTTTACTTTGTGCACTTGGCTCAAAGTTGTACATGTGCACTTAAGACAAACATTTATTGCTGTGTGGCTTGCTTTTACCTTCCACTTTGGGCTTCACTTCTGCCACACGCTCTGCAAACTTCTTCTTGAAGTACAATGACTGCAGTCTTTGCTGGTAATGATTAATCCTGTAAGAGCAAGGTGGCTTGATTAACACTCAAGATGAGAGCCCATTTCTCTGGAATCTGCATGGGTATTTGGGCGACTGCCTGGGGCCCGTCACTTCAAACTTTGTTCACAGTACCCATAGCTCTTGTGAAAACAGAAGAGAAGAAAAGGAAAAAAAAAAGTAGACTCTTCACTCTCCCCTACTTCTCCCAAGTCTCTTAACCTTTCATGAAGTGTGGCCTTTGGCAAGGCTACAAAGACTTGTGTCTGTCATACACGCCTCATACCCACTTCCAAAACTTTTTGCCTTGAAATCAGCTAATTAAGCTCATCTCCTGAAGGTGGGCAAACTTAGCCTTCCAGATAGCACCTAGAGGGAACAGCGAACCTACTGGCCTCTTATCTGCACCTAAGCTACAAGATTCTTGTTGCTGGTAGTGGGGGTTACAATGTGACTTCTCATGAAGCTTCTGAAACACATCTTTAACTGGCTCATGATAGAAGTTTCAGTACAAGTCCAGAGATCAGCTTCTGCTCTAAAGCCATTTGGGGATACAGATCCCCAAATAGACCTAGGTTTGCACCCCAGATATGTCTCTTATTAGTTGACTCTAAATAAGGTCTATCTGAGTCTTCTTTTCCCTGTGGAAGCCTCTGCAGGCAGGACTGCTAGGAAGGTTACACGAGAAAACACTTGTAAAGATTTGGGCTTGTTTGAGAAGCTATTTCTGCTGGTCACTAGATTGTCTACATTGAAGGCTGCAGGGAGCAGCTTCAAAATACCAAAGTTATCCTTTGTTCAACAGTAGTCTCCAAAATGGCAAGTTATGAGGGAATAACACAGAAGTAAATCTGGCCACAGCAGGAATGGAGAATGAGAGACAGGCTGCTGGCACAGAGAGAAAGGGCTCTGCTCCAAGGGCTACTGGATTTCAAGGCCCTGAGCTTTCTCTAGAATGGAGTCAGTTCACTAGACCTGGAATGGCAAAGAGAATTTGCTCATACCCCAAACACAATCACAGAGCAGTGACTGCCCCCGGGGCTTTCTGGGAAAGGGTTCAGAAAGCTTGCTGAGGCCCCATGGGAAGAGTGCTGTGATTGATTAGTGATGCTTGCCTGTGTCTTATTCACTGAGGGGGCTCAAGGTTGGCACTGCCAGAGCCGGTCATCTCTCTCCCTCTAATTTTACAACAAACTTGAGATGTCAAGGTATTAGGATGCTGAACTATTATCCTAAGACATCGAAGTGTTAATGAGAATGACCAGGGAACATTGTAGCACAATAAAGTCAGAGCACATGGGCCCAAGAGGCCCCCAAGGACAACTGTGAAAATACCTGGACACTGGCTCACCCCCACAGGCAAAGAACACATTCCATAAACTCCAGTTTGGAAAGATTTTAGAACTAAAAAGTGCTGCAAGATAGGTGACTGGCCCAAGCCATTTATCTTGAACCAAAGTTTAACTTCCTTACTAAGGCAAAGGGCATCTTTCATTTCCAGTGTCTTCCATCTTACCTGCTCATCTCAAACAGGAAGCGATCAGCCTTGGCCATCCGGTCCAGCTCGTGTTTATGTTCCTCTAGCAGGTCAATGTCACTTTTCTCAGGAACAAACTTCAAAAGCTAAAAGTGCATGCAGGTATTAAAGTAAAGGTTACAAAAAAAAAAAAAAATCTTGGCAGTAGGTTTTTAACCTTTCAGCTAATTTGCTACAAGATGAAATTTTAATACTTTCTTAGGTTACAAGCCCTGCTAACTGGCAATCAAGGCATAAGGAATGCCATTTACATGTTGATTTGAGAGCAGCTTTAAATTGGCCTGAAAGTCATTTTCTATTCTCTAGTACCTTTCAAATTAGATCTGTTGACATTTCCCACCAGGACCTACTTTGCTTGGATGTTTAGCAGGGCCCCAGAGAGTCAATCCTCTCATTAGAAGGCCATAAAACTGACCATGCAGAGAGATGCAGCCCTCAGCCTGCATTACAGAGCAAGTATACATAATTGTCACAACAGAACCCAGGTCTCTGATGCTCAGAGTTCTGTGCATTTGTGTGGAATGAATAATTACACTTGTGATTTTCATTCAGCTTGCTTAGTTTTTGTTTTTCTAATCCCACCTTTATTGTTTCATGTAGAGTTTCAGTGAGAGGAAACAGTGGGGATATCATATTTTTTACTTCATATTTTATTTTGGAGGATGAGAATGAGAAATGGAAGAAATAGCAACAATATGGAAAGTTGAAAAAGTTACTTTCCGGTGTGTCTGACTGCCATTTCACTCACAGCACACACATTTGAATGTTTGTGTTTGTTTGTGGCTGTGTATGTATGCATGTTATTTTCTAGATCAAATGCTTCTCCCCAATCAAAATGAAGACCCTCTCCATAACTTGATATGATGTGAGTGACTCATTTGCTAGGTTCTCAGATGTGAATTGGAACTCATAAAAGGCAGTTAGTCTGGGAGCCGCTGGCAGAAAAGGAGAATTGGAACTACAGAGAAGGCATTGCTGGGAGGGGTACCTGGTTAAGAGTATGTTTAGGGCTGGAGACAACTCAAGGGATGAGAACAGAGCTAAAGGAGCCTGTAAAGGAGGCAGCAGAGGTTCAACTGGAGAAGTTATGTAACATTGCATGGCCAAGGCAGTGTTTCACTATGGAGTGAGTGGTATTCGTGTCAGAAATCACCAAGAAACCAAGAAAGAGAAGAGCTGCCAAGTGTCCTCTGGCTTGGTGACAGGGAAGCTGTGATGTCGTCAGCAATCAGTTTTAGGGAGGAGAAGAAGACAGATGACAGTGGGCTGAGTGAACAGGAGGAGAGTATGGACTGGCTTTCAAGAACTTATGACTATGCCAGGAAGAGAGAGGCAGTAAGTAACACTGTGTGTACAATCACTAAAGATGGAGACATGGCCTGCTGAGAGCTGAGAGGGTGAGGTTGAGACTGAGGGGTGGGACAGCCAATCCAGATGGGCTCCTGGCTAGAAGGGATGGATGTGCCAGGGCATTAGGAGGGGCAGATCCCTTGGCCTAAAGGAACAGAAGGGAAGATAAATCAAAGCAGATGTCAGGTGTCTCTAGGCATTTCTGTTCCCAGGTTCAAATGGTGACACTGAATGGGACTTGGCTTGTTCTTCCTCTGCATAGGGAAGGTTGTAAGGCAAGGAGAAGATGAAGGGGTGCCCCTTGCCCCTTTGGTTTGGAGTTTTGTCTTCTGAGCTAGGGAACTCACATCTAGTCTAAGACATCCCTTCTCCCATTTCCCAGGCTCCCAGCTGGTCTGTGATCAGGAAAGCACCGTCACTCTGTGTCCTCTGTGACTTCCAAGAGCACAGGAAGGTGTGTGTGGCAAGCCTCAGCCCCTCACCAGGCAGAGGGGGTGACACTGTATGTGGGTCATTTTCCAGGAAATGGAGCTAGGAAAGCACCTGGGAACAGGAAAGATACATTCTGAGGACGAGTGCTCACAGACCTTAGCCTTGGTCTGAGCACGGCAGCCAACAGAGGCACACAGCATGGAATGCATGTAGCTTCATGCAGGCCCCGTGCAAAGGTATGGAGATGCTGGGACAGACATCTGTCTTGAAGAGAGGCATGTGGAAGAAGACCAGGCAGAAGGACATTAAGCGAGGAGGGAAAGAAAGGGCGTGGGAGAGGAGTAAGGAGCAAGAAGCTCACAGAATTATCAGGAGAGGCCAGGTCAAAAATGTCCTTGGCCAGATGCTGCATCAGTGGACAGATTGTCTTCCTTGTTTATTTGGAGTATGTCTTATTTGCACTGCAAGCTCTTTTGGCAGGGCTTTGCAATCCTTTCCCTCAAGGAGGAATTTTGCTGGATGCAGTTTCAGGGTAAACAGATCTTGTAGAATTTTAAGCATATGGTCTTGTCAATGGAGGCTAAGGGCAGAAGGACCAAAGTAGCTTCACACAGAGTTTAGTTCTTCACTCTTGGTAGAGACTAGAAGGTGGGGTCACCTGGAAGCTGGGGCAGCTGTATAGTGAGAGAAGGGAGAGCAGGGATCTGGAAATACCCCTGAATGTGTGTGTGTAGAGTGTGTTGAAACTGTGCAATCACAGAAAATCAAGGGAGACATGAAGAGTCATTAACTTTCTTGAAAATTAAATAAAAAATTTAAATGGCAGCTTAATAAGTTGTTCTGATGCCAAGTGTGAGGGCCTCACTCAGGACAACTCCAGGGGCAGTTCTATGCTGTCCTGAGTCTGTTGCCTTCCGGGATTTCAGTGGGAGCCATCAAAATGAGCACACACAGAGAGGGACAACCTATGAAAAGTGTCCTTGCCACTCAGGACACAAGATGCTCCTTTCTATACTTTCAGAGCTGAGTATGCACACAGTTGCTGTGTTCAACCTGGACTCATGGTTGCTGGTAACTACAAGTGACCTTCAGTGGACCTGGCTCTGACAAAAACAGACCTTAGACCTAATCACTCAAAATCAAATTGTGTCCCAAGGATGAGAGACAGAAAGGAAGAATATCCTTACAGCTATTGATCACCACAAAGCTCAGAAACCTTTACGTCACAAGGGATCAGGGGACAGAGACAGGTAAAAATTCTTGGAATATGTACTGGTTAGACACATGAGATATAGTCAGAGTGGCTAAGCATAAATGCTGCAGAATGAGTTACCCATTAGACTGGGTAAGATTTATTCAGAGACACTGATGTGAGGTACCTATGTGTAATTTCTGTGGGCTAACCCTGGAGTTGTGATTACTGCCATTTATGACACAAGATGCCACATAGGAAAGAGACATGATTTAGCTCCAGGGAACAACTCAGTCCCCATAGGACAGGTGTGACTGTGGAGAACAGGTGGCTATTCCAGGCGTTTAGTGGAGGCTTTTGTGTTTGTGGAAATGATGAGCCAAAATGCAAATTTAGTAATTAAGAGTTTGCAGACTAGTTTTTGATCTCAAAGAACCCAGGATATCTCCAACATTCCTGTGAAACACATTTTCCTACTAATCCCCGCAGATTTTTATGAGATGTTAAGACAATACGTTAACTGAAGTTTAAGGAACAGACATTGTGGGTCCCAGGCATTTGCAGACTTGCTTTATACTTATTTTTGAGAGAGAGAGAGACAGAGAGAGAGCAGGGAGGGGGAGAAAGAGAGCACAGATGAATGTCATGTGATGTGCCTTCAGACACCAGAAAAGGGTGTTGGATCTCCTTGAGCTGGGCCTACAGATGATTGTGACCTAGTCACTTGACATGAGTGCTGGGAACAGAACTAGGGTCCTCTAGAAGAGCAGAAAGTGCTCTTAATCCCTGAGCTATCTCTCTGTCCACATTTCACAACCTGTAAGCCTCCCCTCTCAACCATCATTCTGAGGAACAATATGAGAATAAAACCCTTTAAGACAATGCATGGGGCCAGGCTTGACCCCCATTTTCTCATCTCATCTTTGAGATTCTCCCAGGATCCTCTTGGCAGTTGATAGTACTACTTAGGCTCTGAAAGCTGTCTGGCAGCTCACCTGTTCTAACATGTCCTTGGGCAGATCCTCCTGTTCATCCATTGTTAGGATCGCTCGCTTGATTTCATCATTGGATAATTTCAACCTAGAGAAAGCATATTTAATCTTGTTAATAACATTGCTGTGGTTGTTACAATTTAATAAAAGGCAACTCACTCCACTACACCAGCTGCTAATTTTCAAGTATGGTTTTTCTCAAAATCTCAGCCAAGGCTTATTTCCTGACAACAGAGGGAACTAAAAATAGGATTTTGAAACAGCTTAAACATTCTTTTAGAGCTCTGTAATGTTCTGCTGACATGGGGACAAGCTGCTATGTTCTATCATTAGTTTCCTTAAGGAAAGTTGGAGATGGGAAAGTGGGCACAATGGTCTCCTTACATCCAACATCCACAAATTGTGGGTGAGAAGAGAGAATTCAACCTCTGACATCATTGAATGTCAGGGGAGTTCCAGGTGTGCTGCCAGATTAAAAATAGATTTTGATATACTTGGAAACTATATATGTGGTTAAAGAGTTGAATGCATTAATATATAAAATGAAATACATGCTTATTTCATAGTTGAGGAATTTTCATATATTTAATTTAATTATGAAAGTAACTGTGACCGTCTGGTTTTTTGTTTGTTTGTTTTGTTTTAAATAGATAAACAGGCTCAAAATGGCCAGTGATCTGCTCAAGGTCAAACATAGAAAGTGATGGCTATCAGTGGCCAGTGAAATGGCTCAGCAGGTAAAAAGCAAGCAACCTCAACCTGCTGATCTGAATTAAATATCTGGAACAAGGGTAAAGGGGGAAAGAGAAATGACTCCACAAAGTTGTCTTCTCACCTCTATAGGTGTACCACAGCGTGTGCCACATTACAGAATAAATTTAAAAAGTGAAAGTGATGGCATCACCATTACATATCCATTTTACAACACAAACACCACTCACCTATTTAGTATCATACAGCAAAAGATGTATGTCAAAACAAAACTGCTTTCTGTTTTTGTCTGCCCATAAATTCAAATGATTTATACTAACTGAATTAGGAATTTGTATTTTACGTCAGGGTAAGAAAGTACTCATAACATAAATATAACAGTTGTGAAATTGTAACATAAAGAGTGCTTTTACTCAATATAAGAATAGTCATAACTGGGCAAATATTCTTAATCATACTCTCAGTTGTAACAACAGAATCCAGAATTGTTTGTTCTACCTGTACACATAATAGTCACATGTCTTTCCCCTCCAACCTAACACATACAGAGAGAATGTGGGGGTATCTGGTGAAACAATCCATGTAAGGCTCTTGGTAGAGCCTTACATGTAAGGCTCTTGGTAGAGTTCTTGGACACAACAGGGGCTCAATGTCTTTCTCTGTACTGGAAAAATGCAAAAACAAGGTGTCACCTTTGTAACTTTAACATGCTATGAGTAGATCATTTAAACAGTACTCAGTGTGGTCACTGTCACTTCCCAAAGCAGTCTTATCCACATTATTTCACTCAAGTTTCATCTCTGTACATGACAGAACCAGGCCCAGGAGGACTGTAAAAGAACTGGAAGACATCTTTATCTCCAAGGTGGTTATAATTTTTTGGAGAGTTACATCTCACCAACAACCGGCAAGGCTGAGTGAATGGATGAGGATTCCAAGGCAGTAGAAGGGTAAAGACCCTTTCCTAGTTGGAACCACCCACTTCGCCAGGCTACACTTGCTGCATGCGCCAATGAGCAGTAAAGTGGAAACAAATTTGGGATGCTACTGCCCAAACAGCACTGTCTTTCATTTCATGTTCTCAAATCTTAATACACTGTCTAGGCAAAAAATGCCAAACTGTCACTTGACAAACACAATCCACCCCATCTGGGCTGTGGTGCCATCTTCACCTCTGTGCTGAATCCACACAGGTTGGCCCTGGCAGAATCCTTCAGCCTGTGTCAGTCAACCCTGGGACAAACACTGCCACATGAGCATGTTCACCAGAACAACACAGTTTGAAAAGCCACATCAGTAAAGTGGAACAATTTAGCCAAGTTGGCCTGGGTGAAGAAGACAGAAGGAAAAACCATAGCAGCACTAGATCTTCAGTGTGAAGGCCTTGGGTAGCCCTGGATCTTAACATCACAGGCTCTTGAGTCAATTTAAATACTGGTACCATAGCGTGTCCACACAAGGCAAAGAAAAGGACAGTAACTGGAGACCAAAATTGCCACTAATAAAAACCAGCCAGCTTGGAAAAACCTATAGTCACCACCAGAAGAGACTGGCTTATTATTATTTCATTACTTTATCACTGGATTCGTGCGTGTATGTGTGCCACAGCACACGTGTGGAAGTCAGAGGACGACTGTAGGGAACTGCTTCTCCCTTCATCATGTTGACCCTTGGGGTTGAATGCTAATTCTTAGGCATGGCAGCAAGTATTTTACCCACTGACACATCTCATGGGGCCCCAAGTTCTGCTCATAAGCGAAAACTAAATGAGCTCTGTGTCTTTTCACACCAGGTTGAAGAAATTATTTTGAGTCTTTTTGTTTTGCACTTCAAAACGAAGGGGTTGAAAGGAAGAGTGGGAACAACAGTCAAAGCACCGGGTTTGAATTTCACAGCTGCTCTGATGGAGTGTGGAGCTGCTTGCCTTTGAAATTGTATATATTTATGCTCCTTAACTTCCAGAGGCTGTCTGAACTAAACTTTCTCTTAATGCAGCCCACAGAGAGATGGGAGACTTTAATGAACAGTACTTAAGAAAATTTACCTGTTAACAGAACACCGTGCACGTGGCCTGCTGGATCAGACAAAGAAACCCTACCTCAGGAGCAGGGGTGTGGGGAGAGGGAGTACCTGCCCTCCAGTATGGTTCTACAGCCTTCATAGTTCTCGGTATCATCTGTCACCCTCAGAAAGAGCCTTTAATCTCTGTAATTTAAGGACTCCACTTTTCTAGTCCTTTCATTGCTCTTAGAGCTCGACAGTGTTCTTGGCATGCTGCACAGTGACAACTTTTTGAGACGTCTGCTTCCACTGTCCTTTCAAGGCAGGAAATAAGCCAGCCACCTTAAAATAGTATTTAACTCCAGATTGCTCTCCTCAGGTATTTAAAAAGTTTGCTCAGACAACTGGAACATTTAGCGATAATTAGAACAAGCCAGGGATGGAAGGTTAGACCAGTCTCTGCTCTGCTTCAGTGGTTTTAAGCCAGATCCTTCTACTTAATAAAGTAGCTTTTTGTGGTTTATGACACCCAAGTTGCCATGTCAATAGAGGAATTGGAAATCGGGAGAAGGTCATTTTGAAATATAGACCTGACTCTGAGTTTCTTCCCCGCCCCCCCCCCCCCCCCCCCCCTTGTTGATTAAAGCAGTCTAAATTTTAAACTGCTACACATCATCCATATACCCACAGTAGAGAAGCTGTTTATGCCACAGAAGGTATTATAATAAAAATTAATTAAACCGGATTTTAATACATAAACAGATAGGAGGCAAGTTCTTAATGGCTTTGTATTCTGAGGTACGTCATGGCTGCTCCACTTTCCTTACATAGGTGATAGGCAGGCACTGCTGCCCCCAATTAACAGCTTCTCTTCCTTCTGCTCCTAAGAGCTTCAAGTGACTTTGGTCACGCAAGCTGTAAACACCTATTTACCAGGCACAACACAGGAGTCACCTGCTTTGGGCTCTAAGCCAGGTGGTAGTAGGCGCCCTTCCCTAAGTTTTGTAGCACATAAGGAAGCTATAAAGGATGTCCAAACACTGTAGGCAAATATTTGAAAATACAGCACATGGAATAAGTCAGAGTCTTTCACTGTTGTAGATGCTGGTGTAATGACTGTTGAGAAGTAATCCCCATCAGCAAGAGAATAGATGAGTGCCAGGCTTCAGCATTAAAACAAGCAGGAAGGAAAGATACTGGATGTGTAGAAAGGTGAGGAATCTTAACATAATCTTTGAATATTTCTGGCTTTTGTCCCTAAACACAAAATGAAATGTCAACTCCCATCAAAGGTTTCTCCATCTCTGTCAATTCTGGCCCCTGACTGTCTTACCTGGACAACAGAAAGAGAATCCTGTCTGATATCTCCCCTGCAACCAGCGTTTGATCCCCTCCACCTTATACTGCAAACCAAGCAAGCTTAAAACCACATTAAAACAAACACACACTGCTCTCCTTGGGACCAAACCCCATTCCGTACACCATGACATAAAACTGGCTATTAGCCAAGCAGTGACCACAGGGACTTCACGCACGTTAGGCTAAATCCCATTAGCCCACTGCAGAACTACCAAATGGCCACACTCTCCACTTTATAGAACAGGGGTTATGACTTGATTCTGGGCTGACTTGCATCCTAGAAAGGCCTAAGACATGAACCTTAGCTATCCTGCCAGGCTCTACTGACCACAACTGCTAATCCTCTGCTCTCCTCTTACTAGCAGGGCTTGCTTTACCAGTCTAAGGGTGCTTAGAGCTGCCTTCCTTATTCCCCTGTGTCTCTGGTGCACATGCTCTGAGGCACACTTTGTCTAGTAAGCCCTGCTCTAGCCCCTCTCATCTGACTGCACTCTTTGTGTGCTTTGGTTGAGATCAGTGCAGGCCCTGGTCTTCTCACCAGCAGCATTTTTCTTCTCCAATCATCCTTGAGCTTTCAAAGGTGGCAGCACCATTTAGCTTGCTTTCTTCACTATGACAAACTACCTGTTGAAAAGGCGGTAGAAGGAGGAGGGACACATGTTGGCTCAGATGTTGCAATCATGGCCTCTTAGCCCTGTCATTATGGGCCTACTGTGAGGCACAGCATCATGGTGGGGAAGGCTTGGCTAAGCAAAAGGCTTCTGTCAGCATAGGTTTGGGAGGGAGCAAGACAGACGGGAAGGAGCAGATACAAGATATGCCCTTCAAAGATGCACCCCAGTGACTTCCTTCCTCCAACAGGGTCCACACCATAGTTTACTCTCCTATAGTCCAACTACGAGTCCATAAATGGATTAATCCACTGATATGTTCAGAGCCCTCATGATCCGATCACTTAAAAAAAAAAAAAAGTCCTACCTCTGAGCTGGGCACTGGGGAGTCAACGCTTTAGCACATGAACCTTCAGAGGACATAACTATCAAAACCATAACACCACCTTAAGTTCTGGTGTCTCCCAGCACAGTGATGAGGGAGCAAATGCCCTAAAGTCCCACTGTCTTAAGAAAGATGCACAGACATGCTCTCAGGCATGCCCAATGCTTAAGTCCCTAACTACTTTCTGTATGTAATGATGCATTGCTAACAAGAGAGAATAAAACCTTCCAACTCACTAGAAAATGAAACAAAATACAAATTACAATGAAACCAGTTTAACTTCTTTTACTTTTACTTCAGCAAATATAACATCTTGTCCACATGTGAGACTGTGGGGTTTTAACAATTATTACCAAATAGAAAAGTGTGCATACTGACATCCCCTCAGGAGAGAGGGTTCTAACCTGGTTACTATGCAATCACTGACTGGGACTCAAAATTATGTTACCCTCATCACACCATTTTGTTGTGCTAATAATAAAAATCTACTAAGAAATTTCCAACCTACTTAAGTAGGTTCCAGGCAAACTGTCTTGGCAGGGGGTACACTATATACACACACAAGTTCTATGTTACTTTACCTTACCCTCTGTGATGTTTGAGGTATCAGGGATTTACATACCACAGATACAATATAATTCCTTCAATAATGGAATGAGAAGTTAGCCAGAGAGAGTTATAACCTTATCTATAGCTAGGGTAATTATCTTGGCTGGCACTAAGCATGGGGAATACTTTGTCTATGAGGAATAGGGTCTCGGTTTGTACTCTAAGCATTTCAACACTATAGAAATTCAGAGTGATGTCTCTCTTTGTCAAGTTGTGTTGAAAGTGCTCCACACAGCACACACACAAGATACAGGCAGAGATATTCAGATCAAAGCAAAAAGACGACAACAACTTGGGGCTGGGGAGATGGCTTAGCAGTTAAGAGCACTTGCTCTTCTTCTAGAGAACCAATGTTTCCTTCCCAGCACCCACATAGCATCTCACAACCACCCATAATCCCAGTTCAAGGAGATCTGACACCCTTTTCTGACCTCCATGGGCACCAGGCATGTATATAGTACGTAGACCTACATGCAGGCAAAAGAGTAAAACATAAAATAAAATAAATTAAAAAAACTCAAATCTTCACCAAATTTTCCTACCAGGAATGTTATTTGGGAAATGGTAACAAAATAAATTGTATACAGTACGGAAGAAAGGAAGTAGACCTTCAAGTGGTGCCATCTTAAAGTAAATACTTCATCTAACCTAAGCACGGTTCATGGAGCCAAAGTGAGGATAAACATAAAGCCCAGCCATTTATATATCGTCCAGCCAATGCAGAGATGAAATGGTAACAGGGTGGGTGGCTCATGTTACCTTACAAGCTGCATTAAAATTCAGGGATCTTATGCATTGCAACCTGTGAGGACTCTTGCGCAGGTGCAAAACCCCAGTGCGCATACGCAACCTCCCCTTTAAAAGGTCCTGCCGCCCATCTCTCTCCCCTTCCTTTTGGCTCCTCTTGGGTTGGCTGACTACCCATCCCTCTCTCCCCCCCTTTTCTGGTAAATAAACTCCACATGGGTTGTTCAAAAAAAAAAAAATTCAGGGATCTCATGAAGACTCAATTTCTCTTCCACTAAAGGAAACATTTATTCCTTAAAGTCATACACACCCAGCCAGCAAACAGGCTTCTGTGCTGAGACCAAGCAGTGGCTCTTTGTGTTCAAAGCCTCAGTGTATGGTCAACTAAGTAGCAGGACTACTTTTCATCTTAGCTCCCTCCAGGAGAGTCACCTCAGGTCGGCCCGATGTACATATAGCATTCTTCTCAGTCTGGAGCTCATCCATGTAGCTCCCAACATCAGCATCCTTCACACCCTCCCACACCTCAACAGCATCAGTTATGTTTGCCTGACCACAGACCAAAAAGCAATTGCAAGTATGAAATGACCTAACAACATTGCCTGAGGTTACAATCACAATCCAGCCTCACAATTTCCCTTTTATCATTTCAAGTTCTAAGGTCTTAAAATTCATAAGTTACAAGAGAGTTTTCTGAACAAGCTTGAATTGGCTAAGTTAACATCTCACTGAGATTTGAGATTTACGTATCTTCATAAAATAAAAAACGCTCAAAAAGAGAATGAACTTAAGTAATGTTGAAATATGAAAAGGTGACATTGGAAAGCAAAACAGAGAAGCATCAACACAGCACCTGATTCTGTGACTGTGTGACTCAAGGGCTAAACTGTCTCCATAACCAGGAAATATCAAGATATGCCAGTTCACTTCTTAGGCTTCTTGGAAAGGAAACACCAAGGTTGGCATCCAGCCTGAGAGACCTCACCAGGAAATTAACACCTTAAACTGTAGGGGCTTGGAAGACTTGCACTTCAGGACAAAGCAAATAAAGTGAAAGGAGCAGGAGGAAAAAGCTGGTCCCACCAGTAATGTTTATTCAGTACCTCGACAGAAGGATGTTGCAATTCTGAGCTCTCCGACCATCAATCACTGACAGTTCTTTGACTTTAAATTTGGAACTCAGTGTGTCATCAATGGCATCTGTTTCTTTCTGGAAAGAACACAGGAGAAATCCATCAGAGTCAAATGGGGACACTCAGACTTGGGAGGCACACTTTTCTTGCACATTTTCTGTTCACACACACACAATGCTCACATGCACACATGGGCCGAGCTGAGATGATGAGGCAATGTTGGGAAGGTGGTGCAATCAAAACAAAGGCTATTCTCTGCTTGGCAAAGAAAATAAGCAAAGCTGACCACCCACATTTGAAAAAGCATTATGTGCTTCAAGTTGAGGATATTAAACGTGCATAAATTATCAGTGAGAGATGCTGTCCTTTGTTCCTCAAATCTCTGTGTACAGCAGACGGAAGAACTGTCACTATGAATCAAGCTCAGCAGAGCTTTGTCATTACTGGTCCAGTCATTTACAGGGTCCATTCACCCTAGAACCATTTGCAACCCTTAGCAGTCATGTAAGCTGAGAAACAAAACCCCCAAACACCTTCATGTGCAATGTGCAACAGGAAACTCCCAAAGGCCAAATGTACCTTGCATTTCCCAAGCCTGACAGAAGGACAAAGGAGAGGGGGCAGTTGAAGAAATCTGCTCAATTATCTGAATTAACAATCAAATACTACTTGTATATTTTATTTGCATATTCACTCATGATGGCCAGATATAAGTAAGGTGGAACAGGTATATGCAAAATACATATGAGGAATTATATTAATACAAAGTTCAAGGTGAGAATATGGACTAACTTGGCATGTAGCCAGCTTACTCCATTAGTGGTTAGGGACTTTTAAAAATGCATTGTGGCATTAAAAAAAATACAAAGAAACCAGAAAGTTTTCAAACTGTGGAACCGTTTAGGGAGCAAAGGCAGTTTGAACGATTAATGGAGCACTATGGGTCTAAATGCCAAAGGTCTCTTGTGCTCAGATTTCAGGCATACTTCTAGACAGTACAGTAAGAGTCGAATCACAAAGAGGAATCACCCAGGCATTGAATTACACTATCTAACAAGATAACCAGGGATTTCAAGCTTACAGTGAGCCAAGGAGTTATGTTAAGTAAGGGTTATACAGTAGCTTACTTACCTGCTTGGAGTTACTGTTCACAAAGAACTCCTACAGCCATGGCAGAGGCATAGAAAAAGGAAATCAGATACATGCATTTCAGAGACCACAGCAGCAAACAGGGAAAGTCAAAGCAGTCAAGGAATTGGTGGTACAGGCTAAGAGAGCAGGGGACATTTCCTGCCTTGCAGTCATCAACTCAAGTGAGCCAGTCTGGCTGAAGATACAGTGAAGATCACTGAACAAGACATTTGGTATAAAGAAAGACAACAGATGGCATTTGCTACATACCATTTCAAGTGGTAGCAAATCAAATTCAGAAAAGAAAAGGGCTTAGAAGGACAAGCTAGGAATACAATAAGTCCTCTTTAAAACAACCACTAGGCTCCCATTTATTCAACATGACGTGCACACATACACATGCACACCTGTGAGTGAACGCTCACACGTGCGCGCACGTGCGTGTGCACACACACACACACACATACACACACACACACACACACACACACACACACTGCTCAAAACCAAGGCATGCACACATATTAGGCAAATAGTCTATCACTGAACTATACTCCCAGCTACTATGTTGAATTTTTACTTGATGCAGAAGGTTGCCAATTAATTAATCAGTATGACTAAACAATGGCCACTGCTATAGAAAATGTGCTTTTCTTTTGGTGGAAATCACCTGTCTTCTTGTATCATAAGAGTTAAGAAAAGTAAGTGGAGAAACCTATGTATGACCAACCCTAGTACCCGAGATGGTCCAAACCATGGCAGCAGGTGCTGTGGGAAAAAGCACAGCACATGCCATTGAGAAGCCACTGGTGTAGTTATTGGTAGGCATGTCTCAGTGGCCTGTAGGATGCTCATGCATACAAGGTCAACTGCTTCTTCAAAGAGTGCTTAGGAAAATCTTAGAGTGAAGATGGGCAAGAGGAGCTAATGGTATGTTACAAGAAAGTAGCAGCTTTTCCTGCGTACTTTTGCAAGGCAGCAATGAGCAATGCTTCAGTGTGCAAAACACATTGCAGCTTTCAGGCCAACTGTGTGTACACTAGCATTTGCCCAGCAGATTCCTTAAGGTCTCCCTGGTCTCTGCAGCACTGCCAAGGCTGATTTTATACAGATGAACTGTTTTGCATAATTCTTCTAGTGGGAAACAGAAAGACTCCTCCCGTTGGTCTGCCCACAGTAGGAGGACTACTTCTCTGGAAAGGCATTTAAAAAGCAAGCTGATAACCACAAGAACCTTTTCTTCTGTATGATATCCCAGTTCTCTTTGGACCCTGTTATGATTCATATTTTCTACTCTGAAGCTCTTTAGGACTCTTCCAGTAAAAGCATTTTTTTTTTCTTTTTGGTTTTTCGAGACAGGGTTTCTCTGTGCAGCTTTGGAGCCTATCCTGGCACTCGCTCTGGAGACCAGGCTGGCCTCGAACTCACAGAGATCCACCTGCCTCTGCCTCCCGAGTGCTGGAATTAAAGGTGTGCGCCACCAACACCTGGTAGTAAAAGCAATTTTAAAGGCAAAAGGCTTTAAAAAGGTAAAATAAGCTATGAAGTCAACTTAACCAAAGAGAAGAGTACTACTTTAGATTAGATCCTGCTCTCATTGTCTACTCTTCAAAAAAGAAATTTTTATGAAGCTTCTTACATTCATTAACACTGTTGGGAAATGAAGACATCTGGTATGACAGTCTGTAGAATCAGGCAGCTGTCATTTGCTGGGTTTATGCCCTACGCGGAACCAGTCTACCCATCTATTATTACTGTGAGGGGTAAATGTCATAATGTAAGTTAAACTTCCTATGCAGTATCCAACACATGTTTATGAGCCCCAATCTAGAAGCAAACATAACACACAATCACTGTAGCTTTGGAACTGACAAGTCACTTTCCCCGCTCTGCTCTTCTGGATGAGTGGTAGAGTGGATGGTCCGGATCTTCCATTTGAAACCAGGAGCAGCAATAAGTATGAAGTTAATAGCTGAGCAATGCATCTTATCTTTCCAGAGAGGGTGAAGATTGCCATGGAAGGGTTTGGTAATGGTTAGCCTTAAGACAACACTTCTTTGAAGCTCCAGCAATCAGCACATCACAAATGAAATCAAACAGGATGGGTTTCATGAGGTGCTGCACGCTAGAAATAAACAACCAGGTTCACTTCAAGTATGTTAAGATTCTCCTTGAAACCTTATTCCCTCAGAAATAAAGGTAATATAAATGATCTTGGAATATAAATAGGAAATTGCTATTTGCATTTTCAGGGACCAATGCTTGTAAACTACTATAAATGGTTTTACAAAGAAATGATGGCTCAACCTTGCATAGATAGTGATAATCTTTATGAATGGAACTTAATCCTTTCAAAATAAAACATATGCTAATATTTACATACAATCTTGTATTTGATAATTCTTACCATGCAAACTAGGTATAGACCCTCAAACTACACTTAAAAATTATGTTTCTCTCTCTCTCTCTCTCTCTCTCTCTCTCTCTCTCTCTCTCTCTCTCTCTCTGTGTGTGTGTGTGTGTGTGTGTGTGTGTGTGTGTGTGTGTGTGTGTGTGTGTGTGCACATGTGCGTGGGAACCCCATGCCATAACATGCATGGAATCAGAAGGTATTGTGGAACTCTGTTCTCTCTTTCTACCAAATGGGTCCCAGGGTTTGAACTTAGGTCATTAAACTTGGTGGCAAGTTTCTTTACCAACAGAACCATCTCTCCAGTGCTACAGTTAAAAAACAAACCTGACAACGGTAGTCACAGTTTTTCTTTAAGTACTAAGACTGGGAGGACTGGGAGCTGGAGCCAGAGCTCAGTGGTACGGCACTTGCTTAGTATGCTTGAAGCCCTAGATTCTGTCTCCAGTATTACAAAGTCCAAGCAAAATGAGAAAACTGACATCGGTGAAGGAAAAAAAAAAAAAAAACAAAAAAAAAAACAAAAAAACTGTTACATGATTTTTTTTTTCAATGTGAAAACTAGATGCAGGCAGACTGACTTAACTATAAAAAATTAAAAAAGAAAAAATTCTTTGATCCTTGATAAGGAATTTGCAGGCCACCTGAATATTCCAAATGAGACCCTGAAGGACTTATAATATTATACTCTAGCAGTAGAGTTGGAGAATGGAGCCTGGGCCAGTAGCTTTCCTGTGTTCCCTATATCAAAGGATGGCAGCTTTGAAATGTTACACTATGTGGTGAACATAGGCTCCTAAAAGAAGAGCTGTCCTCAGATAAAGGGCAAGAAGGAGAGAGACACTGAGCTAGTAGGCTGCTAAAGAGCAATACTCCTTTTAGGCAAATGTAGTATTTTTAGTTCATTTTCCCTCTATCTAACTGCATAGATATGAACTGATAGCATGTCAGGATGAAAATTTCCCATTACAGATGTGAGGACTATTCAACTGTATCTTAATAAAACTATTACACAGCATCCAATGTTATGCATTAAAAACTAGTCTCTTGTGGCTGACCTGGAGATCATGTGTAATGTAGTTCCAATGAGGAAAAGGTCTTGAGATTCAAGGAATTGACTTTCAAATGAACTTGTGGAATGTACTCAGGGGAATAGCTGCATGCTATTAAACCCCATTTCATGGGAGGCATAAGCTTACATAATCGGCTCTCCACACCTTTAATGCATCCACCCCCCCCCCCCCCCCCCCCCCGCTGGTAGTGGTCATGAATAATCACAGATTAGAGAACAAAGAGAAGCTGAGAACTCTGCACTCTGTAGTCCTCAGTGTGTCACCTGTTGGGATACTGAGTACACACTGTGTCCTATTTTCAGTATCTGTAACATGAGAATACTACATCCCTCCTAGAGCTGGGGTGACAACTGAATAAGAAAATAAGTACAGGAGTTTCGGGAACATTAAATTTTAGGGTTGATGTGACTAAGAACTGTTTATATCATACCCAGTACCAGAAACACTGCTAGTTTTTGATAGTGACCACCATGGTGGTCCCTATGACAGTTATTTATAGTTGTTCCCATCTCTGCTTTGTACTATAATTATATTGTGGGCCTATGAAAAGGTTGAATGCATCTGCATCATTTGAATCCGCTGACAGAATTCATACATAAAGGGGACAAACTAAATACTGAATTTTAATGATAGAATAATTCTCAAATCAATTGATATATTTTATATGTGTATAAGTATATAATCAAATTTATATATTTATGTAGGCATATTTATATATGCATGTAAACATTCCCAAAGTGTCCATTCCTTATTTAAATTATGCTAATTTGGTACTGCTAAATTATCTCAAAATTAGGCTCTGAGGGTCCTATGGTACTGATGTTTATGTGTTCCTCTGCCTGCCTGAAAAATTCATCTACATGAACAAATGCCTGAAGTCCAGAATTTGACCAGTTTCATAGCTTTATAGGAAGGGAAGAGAGGCCATGGAAAAAGATGGGTTATCAGTATTCAATTGGTACTAGAAATAAGAGCAGTTTAAATGTGGTGATAATCACACAATGTGCTGCCATGCCTAGAACGAGCATGCACCGGTTTTTGAGGTTGCCATTCTGGGATGAGGGAATAGTCAAGTGACGCTGATCTGCATATTACAATCAAAATGCCTGTAGCTTTTCATTTTCTGACTCTCAACAATGCAAATGCAATGAAATGGCTCAAGTTACCCTCATTTGGAAAATACAGTGATGATTTATCTTTCATTTTTATAGCAGAAGGAATATTTAAAATACTCAAGTGGAGTGGGTGTTGAAGTTTTTCTTCAGGAAGTACTGTTGGAAATGGCGATGCCCCTCACCAGTTTACCCATGTTAAGAAGAACCGAAAATATGCTGGTCCATCCTGTCAGGGATGACTACTGACTACTTAAACAGCGGTGGTTGCTAGGAGACAGTTACTCAGCTGCAGGGCTTTCTGCAATTGTGTCTCCCAGAACTCTTGCAAACTGTCCATGTATTTGTCCCAGAGCATTTTGGCAGCATCCTTCTGTGCTTTCTGCTGAAAGCCAGTTAATTATGAGGCTTGTAAACTTGGGTCTTTCAACCACCTGCCTTCCTTACACGTTAACACACATGCTCGGACTTGAACGGCACAGTGTGGACTACCTTCTGTTTCCCTCCATCTCATCCACTTTTCTGAGGTTCCTTCCACACCTGCACCTCAGACAGCATGAAGGGCAAAAGAAATGGGACTTGTAGCCAGATCAGAGGATTACTTGAATTAGTTGGAAATTTGCTAAAATTTTATGCCAAGATGCAGGGGCCTCTTTCCTAGGACAGGGGAGAGAGAAGAGGCACACAGCAGCCAGTCAAGGACAACTAAGGCAGAAAAGCTACAGGACAAGGGCTCTGAACACATCTCTGTTTGTTCTTTGAAACATAAGGTGTACTGTTCTCCTCTGAACAACCTGTCACCTCCCTTTTCGTCACCTCCCCTTACTTGGTGCAACCAGCACTCAGCATGGCACCTTCTCACTTACAAAGGGGCTGGCTGAGGGCTTTGACTCGAGGCTCCATAGCACTATGGCAGGCATCTAACTTTTCTTTCCTACTCTACTGAACCCCCATAAAAGGCCCTGAACAGACGCTCGCTTGCCCTCTCTTCCAGCAAAGTCCCCTAGTGAATAACACCCTGTCTCCCAGGCAGATACATCAGAAACCATCTTGAAAAGAGATCCCAGCTCAGTTCCTCTCCAGCCTCTGTCCATCTCCTTGGTGCCTAGCACTTCTTTTTTGAGACAGTCTTTCTGAGGGCCTGAGCCAAGAAAGCAGACCAGGAAGTCTTCTGTTTGTTTAAGGATGCTCCACCCTGCTCATGATTCATGCAGGAGTCAGGCTGCCAGGGCAGCCCTCAGGAAAACCCTGTGCAGATACCCAGCACTTGCCCATCTGAATGAAGTGTGCACTGTTCACAGGTCCTCTCCTCCAGTCTGCCTTAGGAATCTTTCTCTCCATATCCCTGGGCTCAATTTCCCTTCTCCAGGACTCTGACTGATTTTGCCTGACCTTTTCTTTGTTTGCCTGAATTCTCTATATCTAGCTACAAGGCTCTAACTTTTGGCCTACACTTTACACCTTTGAAGGGAAGTCCTCCAGAGCAACAAGAGTGTCTACATAGATGTGACCAAGGGGAATATAAGGAGGCTACCTACTTGTAGGTAGTGTGCCTTGTCAGTGTGTTTGGGCAGTGGGCACCACACTGTATGTTCTTGCCACCATCTTGGAAGTGCTAGTAGTAGCTTTTCTGACTTTGTTGGTATCATTGAGATTTTCACACTTGCTCAGCCTGTGTAACCCTATTAGTGAACCTATAATGTTCAGAACATTTAGTTGAAACTCCTCTATAGATTCTATTTAGCTGCCAAATTACAGTTTTTACAAAACCCCATACTTCTAAAGAATTCATCTAATCCAAAAAGCATTTTGATTCTGAGACTAAACATTTGATAGTTCTTTGAACTCAGACATCCCAGAATGGTTTCAGAAACAAATGCCATTGGGTGACACTATTTTTCCTACATTCAACTTGGATAAGTATAGACAAGACAGAAAGAAGAGCTCAGACATATACTACAGTAGGAAGCTTCTCCACAAAGAGTCCACATGCCTTCAAGTGGTTCACATGCCTGACGGGCCACTGGACACACACACACACGGACATGTAGTTATGCCGCTGAGCAGGAACACATCAGGGAGACCAAACAGCATGAGCACTAACATGCTCATGCATCATGGCTCCAGCAGGTGGCCCAGGGATCCTGCATAAGGACACAGTACTTCAGGACATCTGGGAGGCATATGTTACCTGCTGTCTTTGGTAGGCAGAGAAAGTTCTTTCTAGGTCTTCAAGGTCTAGAATTTTGAACACTTTGGTATCATCGATTTCGGTCCATACTGTTCCTTCCAATTTGTTCTAGAAACATCAAGTTAACAAGGTCTGTGATTGACAGTCACACAGAAAAAAAAAAAAAAAAAAAAAAAAAAAAGTTGGTTTTTTTTTTTTTTTTGTTGTTGTTGTTGTTTTTAAGACAGGGTTTCCCTGTGTAGCTTTGGAGTCTGTCCCGGAAGTAGCTCTTGTAGACCAGGCTGGTCTTGAACTCACAGAGCTGGTTTGAATCCATGTGTAATTATTTCAGAGACAATACCAACTAACACAAGAGCTGGGGAAAACCCTGAGTCCACATTAGACAGTAAGGCTATCCAGCAGCGGGGACATTTCCCCCTCTGTGAGGACACTGAGCTGCAGGTGCCACCCACTGATACATTAATGAGAAAATGGGAACAAATGTCTTACCTCAGGCAGCTTAGACCAGTTGAAGGATTTCAGTGCATTGGTGGGCTGGGGAATATTTTTCTTTTTGAGTGTCAGACTCACTGGAGCACCAGGAGGTGGCAGGATTCCCCCTAAGGGAGGAGGCCCTGGGGGAGGAGGAGGACCCCCAGGAGGGAGGGGAGGAGGTGGAGGAGGAAGGGCTCCACCTGATAAAAGTGGGGGTGGTGGGGGAGGGAGAAGAGATCCTAGCCCAGAGGAAGGAAAGGGGCCCCCTGGGGCTCCGGGTGAGGGTCCTCCTGGGACTGAAGCACAGACAGCCCTCTGGAAAGAGAAGATCAAGAAGAATCAATGAAAGGAGAAAATTCATTGGGTGACTTTAAGAATCTAATCCTCATCTGAGCTATCTGTAACAGAGCACTCACTTTTCTCAGAATGTGGGTGTCAAGGTTGGGTAAATCAAATGGACTCTCCTGGACCCTCATGTCTTCTGACAGTTATATGCTTTTTTTGTGGATCCTTTATCTCTGTCACTTGCACCATCCTACAGTTTGGTTTTCATAGCATCCCTTATCTATCTAAGAAGCTAATGTGAGTTCCTTTGTTCTTAGGACAAGATTTAGTGGCCAAAACTCAACCCCAAACCACTTCTGCTGCCTAAGCCACGGGATGTTGGTGGTTCGAGTCCACTACTGAGATCAACTGTGAAACATTTCAGAGCTCATTCCTACATCACAAGTGTCTACTTCAGGGCAACAGGCCCAGGAGAAAAGAGGGTCTCGATACCCCTGCGGACAGGAGGCCAGGTCTCAGCTCTCACCCTGTTGAGCTCATGGAGCTGTGCTGTGAGATCTGCCACCTGCTGCTTGACTTGCTTGTGCTCACTTGTCTCCTTTTCAAGCTTCTCTTTCATCTTATTTAAGGTCTGCATCATTTCTTCCTTCTCTTGGGTCTTGGCGTCACATTCTCTCTCTTTCTTCTCCAGCTTCTGTTGTAGCTCATTGTGTTCTACACAAGAAAATAGGACATGAAAACGGCCCTCAGGGAGGAAGCATTTTCTTTAAAAAGAGGGGGGAAACAGGCTGAGGATGATACAGAGATTGTGGGTCAGCCTGTCCTAGACACCAATCTTCTTCCCCACACAAGGGCAACTCAAGAGCCATCAGTGTTCATGCTGGGAAACGGCCTCATGTAATGCATTTAGTAACATTTTGGAAAAGATCAAAGGAACCCTAATGCCATGATTCTAAAACTGGGGAAAGGAGTTTGAGCAACTTCTCATGGAGAATGGCATCTTAATTCTAAGTCCTGACACTGAGGTGGCCTAACAGCTACACTAGGGCAACAGATTATTAAAAGAAGGGTCCTTCTCACAAATTGGAAGTGGGCCAGAGAGAAGCCCAGCAGTGGTGAATGAAGTTAGTTGGCTTGTGTCCCACTAGCAGGAGAAGGATTCTGTGCTGTAACAGAAAGCTGCTGGCAGCCCTAGTGTATACTCTGAGTCATGTCTTCCTGCCCCCTGGGAAGGCTAGCTGAGTACTTTGTGCTTCTGGAAACCGATTGTTAACCTAGTAGAAGCAAATGTTATTGTCTCTGTGTTCAATATCTTAAGGGTGGCAGTGCTGATTAGGAACGGGAACCACAGGACTGAAAGGACAAAAAGTAGCTCTTGGCTGTGGTTACTGACGTCCCCAGGTGTGGTGTCACGGTATGTGGGGATCTAATTCAGTGTAATGATGTTCATTTTGCCAATGAATATAAGCTTGTTGATGGGCTTCAGAAAAGAGAAATGATGAAGTTTATCTAGGCTGTAGGTTTCTAATTTCAAATACTTGCCCTCAATGCCTCTGGGGATACAGCCATTGGGGCTGAGCTTTACACAGCTGGTCTCTACTTCTGAACTTGATAACACATTTAAACTCTTACTGTCTCTTTGTGATCTCCCCTCCTTTACGGGTCTCCAAATTGAAATCTGCAGTAAGGTGTGAGCCATTAAAATCCTTGAATTTTGTCTGCTTCCAAACAAAACATTAAAACCAAAAAGCCTTCAATCACATTTACCACTCCACTGATGCCTGACTTCTGGTCCACATCTAAAACAACCTTTCTGTGTTCCATTTTCCTTCTTCTATCTCCACTTCATTCATCACTGATAATTAAGAGATTAGGAATGTCCCTTCCCCTCTTTCATCAACAGCCTTTGACAAATCTGGCTATGCCTCAGATTCAGTGAGAGGTCTTAACATTCCAAGATCACTGCCCAAAGCCCTCTGCAAGCAGTGTATACAGGCTCCTTGATGGTCCTGAAATAACACATTTGGGAAGTGCCAGCCTGAAAACTGTCTCCCAACTGACATCATTTATTATCCATTCACTGAACATTTATGGGTATCAGAGTCTTGTGCTCCATAGACTTCTCCCTCTGATATTCTCCTGCTTTTAGGTCCAAACAACTTCCTATCGCCTCCTTTGAAATTGTCAACAATTCAATCTAACTTTGCTAGCTGAAGCCTCCAGAAGAGAACTCATTTTACATACAATTTCTCTTCTCTTTTGCCCTGTGGCAACTTCACTTATACCACCCCATTCTTCCCACTGACTTTGGATATTTTTCTCCTGGGCCACCTTACCCCTGAACCCTGTGATGGTTTCTATCATTTGCTGTGCAGTTAGTATGTGCCCAACACTATGCTAACTTTCAATTTCCTTTAAACTTAGTCTTCACATCAACCTATGAGTGAGATTCACTCCCCATGCTGTGGAAGTGGGGATCACCAGGGGGACGAGGAGATGTCACTGCTCACAGGAAGGAGGTTGGAGTTCAGACTCCCAAAGAGAAGCCAGCACAGTTCAACACACCAGAGACCCTCAGGTGCTCCATGGATATATGGTTAGACAATTAAAAAATCTCATGTCCCAAGTGCTCTCGACTGTACACTCACACCTACACACTCTAGCGTGTATTCTTAGCCATCTATTCACCGACTGCTCTCATCTGCTGTTGGTAGCTGTGATAAACAGCATGATGAAAAGCATCCTTTGGAGGAAAGGATGTGATTTATCTTATACTTCCAGGTCACAATCAACCACTGAGGGAAGTCAGTACAGGAACTTGCTAGAAGCTTAAAGCAGAAACCACAAATAACTGCTTGCTGGTTTGCTCTCAGGCTAACTCTCAGCTATCTTTCTTTTTCTTTAATTAATCTTTTAATTTAAATTGAAAACCATCTTATTTTACACACCAATCCCAGTTCCCTCTCCCTCCCACCCCCCAGACCCCCTCCCCAGCTATCTTTCTTATATAGCTCAGGTCTAGCTGCCTAGGGATAGCACTGCCCACAGTGGGCTGGGCCCTCCTACATCAATCTACAATAAGAAAAATACCACAAAGACATGCCCACAGGCCAGTCAGATCAAGGCAACCCCCAAATTGAGACTGTCTCAGATAACACTGGGCTGTGTCAGGTTGTCAGCTGAAGCTAACTAGAAGAAGAACTATACTCTCTCTGGAATGTATTATAAAGATTATCTGAGAGCAATGCAGGTGAATAGCAGCACAGGGAGCCCCAGCAGCCCTTGCTGCTGGCACTTCTCACTCCCTCTGGTTGCTCTGAGGAAGTGTGGTGTGAGAAGAGGGAGTGCTCAGGCGGCTCTTGACATTTGTTTCAGAAAATCGGATGCTGGGTGAACGTAGCTGTATGTCACTGGCTGTGACTGAATGACTTTGACAAGTGGAAGAAGAGTCCCTCTTTCAGTGTGGTGAGGAGTTGGGGAGTGTGACTGCTTTCCCAAAGGTGACTTGAATTTGCTAAGATTCTGAAGGAGGGAGGGAAGCTGTATGCTTCTGGGGGTGGCTGGCACCAGGAGGATCACAAATGTCTCTCCCGTCAGAGGCTGAATTACAGCATCAAAGGCATACTCCCATAACACTAGTGGTTGGCCTGCTAATGTTCCTAACGTGTCTCCACAGTGGTTATTGATTTTCCACGTGATTTCTCTTTCTATGATGGGTGCCACATGAGAGCCAAGAAGACAACAGAACTGCCCATACCAAATAGTAAGTAGCTTGTGCTTTTGTCCCAAGAGTCTCAAGAACTCTTAGGCTGCTTCTTGTATTTATTCAAACCCAAAATGCTGTAAGTGAAGTGCAGCTGTGGGCAGGGACTTGTGTGCTCAGTAGTTTTTAAAGAAATCTTGAACTAATTACTTTAAAAAAATTAATTGTGTGTGTGTGTGTGTGTGTGTGTGTGTGTGTGTGCGCGCGCGCACGTGCAGGGGCATGTGTGTAGGTTAAAGGTAAGAGTCAGTTCTTTCCTTCCACTATGTGGGTTCCAGGGATCAAACTCAGGTTGTCAGATTTGGTGGCAAGTACCTTTACCCACTGACCCATTGTAAGGGCCCTTAAAACAAACAAAAACAAAACAAAACAAACAAACACAAAACAAAACAAACAAACAAACAAAAAACCCCACACTTTGTTTTCAATAAATGAAACCTGAACAGCAAATGTTACAATCTCTTCTAAAATACAGAATAATAAAACATAAAGATGAAGTACCTGGAAAACAGCAAGAAAACTAAATGGTTTGAATTTAAAAAGTCAATCCAAAATGTCTTAAGATGTGAAAAAGAAAGGCTACTTGGTGTGCAGACGTGAACACGAAGCCAGTTCCCCAAAGCCCAGGCAACCTAAGCAGAGCCACACCTGCCAGAGCCTTGTTGCTTACCTTTTCTCATTTTCTCTGCCTGTTCCTTCCACTGCTTAACTTCATTTTCATTAACCAACCTGTAGAATAGTTAAAGGAATACTTGTTACAAAGAACAAAACATGTTCTTTGTCAAATGTGTTCCTCTTGGGTGCACAAATAGCATACTGCGTAGACTCCTCAGCAAAACCCAGATGTGTTTATTTGTAACATTTCATCTGTTTCAGGGGTCAGTCTGATATAGGACAACATGAGTATCTCAGAGCATTGCCATCACAATCTCACAGACAAGAAGAGAAGAGACTTACATTCTTACGACGTTCTTAATATTAAAGTTTTCCAAAGGTGTGGAGTCAGGGTCTTGTCCTTTGTCATTCTGGATAACTATTTGCTGTATGATTCTGTCTAGCAGCAGCCAGTACTGAACTGTGTTACCACTTCTCTTGTCTAAAACAGAAAAGAGGGGTGGAAACGATCTTCAAGCTGTTTGTAAACTAGGATGAGTAGTTTTCAACAGTGGGCCCCCTTAGAGCCACAGATCTGACCAAGAAACACTCTCCATACCCCTTTCTACATGTGTTGTAAGGCATGCACTTATTTTGAAATCAGAGTAAATTGTAGATCATTTCATTTTGAGGATTTCATGACTGCCCCCGATCTGGGAGGAAACAAACAATGGAAAGTGACAAAGCTGAGGTATGCAACCAATCTAGTTAGTACTACGGAGAAGTCAGAGCCCTTGGATGCTGTCCTCACTCTCAATGGTGCCCACAGTCACAGAACTCACAAGGCATCTGGAGGCAATGGTGCAGAATGGACATGAAGTGAGGGTAGGCTTCACTGTGAGTCAGTCGCTTCCTGGTCAGCTCAAACATCTGAGTTGCACTTTTTGTGTCTATGTGAACCTATTTTACAGGAAAAACAAATCTGAATCACACATCACTTTCTTAATTCTCTCCAACCCAGAAGAGTGCATGCCACACAGATACAAGTGGACCCTGCTGCTTAGGGAGCAGAATAGGGCTTCGTCTGTGCTCATAGGCTGCACTGGCCCATACAACACAGAGCATGAACCTCAAGAGGCAAATCCTATGATTTGACACATCGCATCAGAATAATTATAGGAATACATACCAGTTCAAATCTTTTGGCAAATTCTAGTTCATCTTCATTTCGGAGCATTTCAAAAAAATCTAAATGCCTGAAAGGTAATTGAACAAAAGTTAGAAAAACTGGAACATCTCATGAACACAAGCACAAAGGACTCAGGATGTTAGGTGCAGGCCTAGGCACACTGTGGTGGTATACTGATGAAGCCCCATCACTCAGGAGATGGATACAGGACCAGTCCAAGCTCAAGCCCAGCCTGGGCTGCACAGTGAGTGCCAGTCTCAGAAAGCAAAGGCAGGGGAGGTAGATAGTAGTGAATAACTGTCATCACATGTAAGGTACTGGGGTTGACCCTCAGGCTGGCAAAGAAAAGTTAAAAAGATCCTTCCTGATTTTTAGTGTTATCTCCAAAAGAAACATGATAACAAAACTTGAATGCCTTTGCTTAACCATTCTAAAGATAAAAACAAAACAAAACATATCTGAGTTAAATAATATCATAGTAAGAATAAAAACAGGAAAAACCTAGGATGCATAGCACCTGGTAGGTAATTAGAAAATGAATAAGTGCTTATCAAACCTAAAAAATGTCCAGATTCCACTTTGATGACACTTTCATGGAAAAACAAGCCCATTAGCTCACACTTGACTTGCTATTGAGTTATACATCAGAAAAAAAATATCGGTGTCATTCATTCATTCGTGTGAATTTTGGTTAACCTCCTACTCTGTGTTCTGCATTCCAGGGACGATGCAGTCTATGAGGACAGAGGGATGGGAAACAGAGAAGGGAATAGAACTGCTCTGTAGTTGAAGGAGGGGGTGTTCTGCAGAAGAAGGGAACAAGTGGTCAGACATCTGTGAAAGGTGTTCAAAGCCAAAGAAAGGCTAAGTCCAAGGGTCCCAGGCAAGCATTGTCAAGGTGAAGAGCATGCTGGGTGTGTGAATGAGGAAGACAGCAGTGGCAGCAAGAGTCTGCAAGCTGGTGGGGATGCCTTAGAAATGGTAACAACTCAACAGTGGCTGGAAACTGGAACTCACAGAATGCCTATTAAAGTTACTAAGTGATTCCACAGGTCTCACAGGCAGTTCTTATGATAGAACTAGAGTCCAGCTGTCATCGACATTATTACCACTTTTATAGGTATTAAAAATAGGAAAGTTCAAAAAGAGTGAGTAACTCCAGCAGAATACATAGGAGGCAAGACAATGGCAGGACAGATTTGGGCCACATGAAGCTCTCTATGCCATCTGTTTCCCTCACTGACAAAGCTTCACTAAAAGAACATAAGAATCCGAAGTAACAGGCTGTGCAAGCTCCGGATGTGACTGGCAGGCTGGAAGCAGCCCGTGGACTAGCACTTCACCTCGCACTGAATCATATGGTGGATACTGCATGGACCCTCTCGAGCTGTGACAGTATGTAATAGTATGATTTACCTGTCTAATGTTGAATTTTCATGTTCCCTTAATTTATCTATAACAGGTTGAATTCCTAACATCAGAAATTCATAGCGAAGATGGAGTCGAAAGTCCAAACTCTCCTGAAAATAAAAGGGGGACACAATACAAATTTATAGTTTTTCAACTATATCGTCACCACATTGGAAAAGTGTGCTTTAATGCTCTCTGTGTAAAACTGCAGGACAGAGCTCTTACCACTCCGGCTCCTTGGCTTAGCACTGCATTGATGAAGGACATGATGGCAGTCTTGAGACTCACTTCATCCCGATAACGCCCAGTGCTTTTGTCCAAGTCGTTAATTAATGTCTGTCAATTATACAAATAGAAAAAGTAGGGTCTGAATCATTACCAACTCTACCTATGCTCATTTAAAGATTTTTTTCTAATGCTTGGAGGTTAATTTTTAAAGTCTTCCCCAGAATTACACTGATTCAGAGACAGCCTCCTTTATACTCAGGATTGTGGTTATGAACTCTTTTCCAGGAGTGGTCACAGCAAGTGTACATAAAACACGAGAAACTTTGCCCCCTAGTCTCCACTTGCTTTTTACTTTGAGTAGATACATGATGACACAGTCGCACTATTAATTTTGATCCTAAATAAAGAATAGTAACCTGCAAAGTTTTCAAGGGACATTCCAGCCAATGGATTCAAAAGATGTGTGCTATGTAATATGTAGGATGCAGTCAGTTTGTTTTAAAATTTATTGCATTAAATGTATTTGTTTTTATTTTATGTGTGAGTGTCCTATCTGCATGTAAGTATGCGCATTATACATGTGCCTGGTGCCCACAGAGGTCAGGAGAAGTCATCGGAGCTCTTGGAATTGGAATTATGGATGGTTGTGAATCACCAGGTCAGTGCTGAAAACTGAACCTGGGCCCTCTGTGAAATCAACATGTATTCCAGCCCTGGGTCATAGTTTTAGTTCAGTGTATCTTAGACCCCAGAATGATCAACAGAGAAATCATATTCTATTTTCCTGTTCTTGAACCTAAGAGAAAGGGAATGTTTAAAGACAAAGTGTGAGCACTGGGAGGAACTATCAGGGCCAGAAAAGGTACCTGTTTATGTAAAGAGTGGGGTGAATGAGAAAGCCTGTGGGGAGTACTTACCTGGAAGCGGGTTCTCTCACTGGCATACTTCTGGTAGTGCAGCATAGCCTGCAGAACTTTCTTGTGACCTCCAGGAACCAGGCACACGGCGCCCAAGATTTCTAGCACGGCCACCTTTGTTTTAATGTTTTCTGTGCTCAGACTCTGAGCAATGACATTAATACTCTCAGAATGAGCCAGGACATGGGCCCGGCCTTGAGAGTTGTTCATTAGAGCCTTTATACAGCCAATGAGGGAGGTATGTATCCGAGACTCAGAGGTCTCATAGTCCATAGTCTTCAGAAAGTTGAGAATACATGACAGGCCATCCAAATCGATGAATCTGGTGACAAACCTGTCAGGAAGAAAAGAAAAGATTAGATTCGCTCCTTTGTGCTTTTGGAACCGTCTTTAACAGAAAAGCCCGGGGGGGGGGCGTGAAAGGAAGTAGACTTACATTAATGTAAGGCTTACATTAATGAGGTCTTTGTAATTCTTTGCCTCTTCCACAGCACAGACCCGATCTAACCAGACTGTGAAAAAATCTCCATTTGGTGCAAGCATACCTCAGCTGGTACAAATACCAACAGATTACATCTTCTCACAAAGCCAGGACTAGCAGTCACTTAGCATATATATATTCACCCCTTCTCCCTGGTGTTGGGGATTGAACTCAAGGTCTCAGACATGCTAAGCAAAAACTCCGCCATTGAACTATAGCCCCATCCCTAGAATATCTCTCCTGTGCTAAGTTAAAAGTCATTTGCTGATCTGAGTGACTGCAGCATCTAGTTCCTATGTGGTCCTGAGCATTGCCCCTACATGTCAAAGGGAAGCATCCCTCAGTTCTACTGCTCATCAGACAAATGACTCCTTTTATTGCTTGGGTGTTTAATAGTGAAACCCTTCTTTTACATGGTACACTACAGGGAATCCTAATACACAAACAGGTAAGAGCTAAGGTTTGTTCCTGTGAATTAATTTTATCAGTATTTATAACCTTTACTGTGAAGGGTGAGAATTCACAATGCACATGTGTATATGAAAGCTGACCAGCACAGATAAGAACAATCTATTTATCTGACTACCCTGGAACTTCCAAGCTCTCTCACCACTGGATACCTCAGCTCAGGGCTCACAACAGACCAAGAAGTGAGGAGTTTGTTGTCATGGTCTGGATGACCCTTGTCAAACACCAGTACAGTGCTTTGTATGCATCAATACTTTTTCTTTAGTTTGTATTTTATTACTAAATAAATATAATTGCTAACTATTATTTTTTTAACCATTCCACCACATTACACTACCCTTTACTCATGGCACCCATGCTAATGAAATGTACTGTAAGAACATCAATACTTTCCCAAACTCTGGAGGTCTTAGTGGGAGGTGATAGTGGAGTAGGGGCAGAGTGGAAGTAGTTACTAGAGAGAATTCAATACTTGCCAGAAAGCCAACCCATCTTTATTACCATATAATGGTAAAACCATTATTACCGATATATAATTCACATGCCATAAAGCTCATTGATTTAGACAATACAATTTAGTGGTCAAATAATATCTCATAGTCTACGTTTTAGTTACTCATTTGTCAGCTGGACATGGGTGCTCAGGGGATATGGGTTGTTTCCACTTAAAACAACAACAAAAACAACAACACTACTTTGAATAATGCTGATAATGAGCACCTGCACACAAGTGTCTGGGAACCCATCTTCACTTTACTTGTCTGTATACCTAGGAGGACAGCTTTTTGGGTCATATGGTGACACTATGTTTAACACTGTGAGGAACTAGCTGCCCTACTATGCTCCCAAACGGGAGCACTGACATTCCTAAGAGCAATGAAAATGGTCTTGCCATACTTGTGCTCTAGCATTCTCTCCCTCTTTCTCCCTTCCTTTTCTTTTGCAAAAGTTATTTTAGTCATTGTCTGCCTTTCTTTTAAAAGGTTCAGAGATCAAAGTAGCTACCGATGGTTCAGTTACATGCTTTTAAAAGTAAGAGTCCCTGGATGGTTTGAGCACTGCAGCATACAGGAGGGAGAGAGGAAAGAAGGAGAGGACGGCTGTACTACCCAGGGGAAAGCACCTCATGGGCTTTGTCCTCAGGGCTGTCTTTAGACTCTCGATGGTTTTACTCCTCTCTTCCTCCTCTTCCTTCTCTAGAGCCAGCAGAGATTTCCTCTACAAAAGAAAACAGAAGTTACGTCTTCATTATTATGTTTTAATTGTTGTAAATTATTTCTACCAAAAAAATCAGTGCATCTATGATTAAGATTGAGTACCAGCAAAACCAAAGAATACCACCAAGAACTCTGTAGAGTCTTGTCTGTATTACAAGTTAGACTTTCAAACTATAAATGACATTTTAATAAAATGTTTGAACATTTTAGAAGAGGTTAAGTTGTACAGATGTTTGTACAATTATTGTATCACATGCCCTGATGTAGATGTCACCATTTGTATTTGACAGAGAGAAGAAGCTGAGCCTATAGCTGGGTGAAACTTTCTGGCACCTAAAGGTAAAAGCATCACAGGTTCAGGTGACACACACAGCCTCTTTTCCATGTGATCACTAGAATTAGCTAAAATTGGAATGAAGATGAAAGGGATTTCTTTATGTCAATTTTTTTAAAAGTAACAATTAAATTAAATCTGATACTAAGATGGTCTCTACTCTCTGAGTAAATGCATGTTCTTAATTATGACCCAACATCATTCAGAAATCAAGGTATGGAAGGTGGGGATGGTGGGGGGGTGGGGGGGAGAAAGAGACAGGAGATGAGGTGCACACACACACATACACACACACTCAGACGTACATACATACACATACATACATACACACACTCACTCACATACACACTCACACACACATACATTCACACACACACACACATACACACACTCACACACACACACACTCACTATGCAGAGAGCTGCTAAGGCAGTGCTTCTCTAGCTGACTGTCTTGGCAGGTCTGAGGAAGCCTGAGATGCTATATTCCTTCAAAAATTTCCAGGCAATGTTGATGCTGCAGAAGCAAGGCTCTAAGTAAGCAGATCTCAGTGACATCAGTTATTTATTTACTTATTATCAGTATGAGTGTGGTACTATGTGTATGCACGTGTATGGCAGGTGTTGTGAAACTAGGGGAGAATATCCTGCATATTCTCTCTTTTTTAAAAAAAGTTATTCATTTTCCTTCTATGTGAATGGTTGTTATACTTGCATTTTTGTATACCATGTGTGTGCAATACCTGAGGAAGCCAAGCACTGGAGTTACAGATGGTTGTGAAATACCATGTGGGTATCAGGAATCAAGCCGGGGGTCCTCTGGAAGAGCAGCCAGTGCTTTTAACCTCTAAGCCATCTCTCCAGCCCCAGCTGCCATATTCTCTCGAGATGGTCTTTTACTGTATCTGGATGTCTATGATGGCTAGTGTTAAATGTCAATGTGACAGAATCTATAATCCCCTGGGAGATGGGCCTCTAGGCATGTCTATTTTGGGGGATTACCTTGACTGTATTAAGTGATATTAGAAGACCTATTCTAATTTTAAGTGGGATGGTCCCCCCGGGAAGGATACCCTGGACTATAAATGGAGAAGGCAAGCTGAGGACTGGTAGTCACTGCTAGTCTTCAGCTCTGTGTTCCTGACTGTGGATGTCATGTGACCAGGTGCTCCAAATTCTGCTGCCTTGCCTTCTCTACTGTGATGGCCCAAAACCTTGGACTGTTAGCAACAAAAACACTTTCTGTTAAGTTGCTTTTTCTCAGAGAATTTATCACAGCAACTGGGAAAGAAGCTAAAGCACCATCTCCTGAGTCCTCAGGTGACATGAAGTACAATATCCACAAGGGTTACCCTCTTTTCACTTCCTTTCATCCATGACTACCTAGCTGTGCCAGAACAGCCCTCCTACCCCACGTCTAGCCCAGAAGCCTTCACCCACAAGCTGCTGGCCCTTTCCTTCACCTGCTCTGAACACATATTCCTGTCTCCTCAGCCCTATCTGTTACAAATCTGAGAAGAGGCTGTGTGGGGGACGGTGAGGTGACTCCACAGAGAGAGATAAGCCTGAAGCTTATCCACGGATCTAAACAATCTAGCATTTCTCAGGTTTGCAAATCATCATGGGAAACTTTATGACTTTTAAAGTCAATAGCACCAACATGAAGTAACTGAATGTTAAAACTAAAACCCAATTTGACCTTTTGGTAAGAAAGAAGTATAAGGCCTAAGATAAATAACCAGTGTCATGTATGGCAGCTGGGGGGGGGTCTTTTGTTTCTTTTATTTTTAGATGTTATTTGCTGGTGATGTGTCTCGACAGCTGTCACCAGAGGAGAGTATATGAAGAAGCTATGCACAGAAATAGGCCAAGAATTCCTCCAAATCGCATGACACCCATCCTGTGAAGTCAGTGACGGGCATTCAGTCTCCAGCGGCAGCTGGACGCCTCTAGAGTGTCAGAAGCACTCTGAAGTGGCAGCTCACAACCAGGCCTTGACAGTGAGTATCATTCCTTCTTATGGAGATGAGCTTCATAAGAGCATCCTGAACAAAAACCACTCATTTTATTGTAGGTCACTACCACCAGGTAAAGGCCTGTACACTTAGCAGCTTAGCAACCCTGGAGAAGGCTTCTGAGCACAGGGACATTGCAGTACACCTGTCTTTCTTAGAGCTGGGAACTCCCTTTACTAATGCAGGGAGGGCTCCCCTAGAGCAGAAGGACCATGCTCATTCCTTAATGTGAAACCATCAGATTTGGATCTGAGATTGCATTCGTGTGACAAAAATCAACCTGCCATCCTAATGCTACTTTTTATAGAAAGCCTCAAGTGTTTAGACTTTAAGAGTTTCCTTTGCAACTTAGAGTTGATAAGGGAGATAAGCCTACATTTCTAGAGTTAATCTTCAAGCCACACAAGTAGTACATACTGGTGATTATACAGGGTAGGCTTTATGATAGCCCTAAGCATCTGCTCACACAAGAAGCCAGCAAAAGACACAGTACACACTGGCAAGGACCTTCCAGGGAAAGCTGCTGAGACACAGTGAGACAGTGTCCTGGACCAGAACCACTCCGCTCTGAAACATTTCCTTGGTGTGAACTAGGCAAAATAAATGGCACCTTACATCTTCCTCCCAAAGCTCCAGTCCTAAAGCCTATTAGGCCATTCTCCTGCATCAGACTTTTCTTTGACTTTTAGAAACCAACAGATGGTCCTTGAAAGAACAAAGTGTTCTTGGTATGAGGCTTGCATAAAGTAACTTGACTTGTTTGCTCCACAAAGGGCTGATTTTACAGCAAGTGGGGCTGCTCTGGCCTGTTTCATCAGACTCTAGGGGCATTAAAGGCAGCAGAAGCCTTCCCTTCACCAGAACAGCCCACAGTGCCCACAGTGCCTACGGTGTCTGCAGTGTGCCTACAGTGTCTGCAGTGTCTGCAGTGTCTGCAGTGCCTACAGTGCCTGCAGTGCCTACAGTGTCTGCAGTGCCTACAGTGCCTATAGTGTCTGCAGGGCCTACAGTGCCTGCAGTGCCTACAGTGTCTACAGTGCCTATAGTGTCTGCAGGGTCTACAGTGCCTATAGTGTCTGCAGGGCCTACAGTGCCTGCAGTGCCTACAGTGTCTGCAGTGCCTACAGTGTCTGCAGTGCCTACAGTGCCTGCAGTGTCTACAGTGCCTGCAGTGTCTACAGTGCCTATAGTGTCTGCAGGGCCTACAGTGCCTGCAGTGCCTACAGAGTCTACAGTGTCTACAGTGCCTACAGTGTCTGTAGTGCCTACAGTGCCTGCAGTGCCTGCAGTGTCTGCAGTGTCTGCAGTGCCTGCAGTGTCTGCAGGGCCTACAGTGCCTGCAGTGCCTACAGAGTCTACAGTGTCTACAGTGCCTAAAGTGTCTACAGTGCCTACAGTGCCTACAGTGCCTGCAGTGCCTACAGTGTCTACAGTGCCTACAGTGCCTACAGTGCCTGCAGTGCCTACAGTGTCTACAGTGCCTATAGTGTCTGCAGGGTCTACAGTGCCTATAGTGTCTGCAGGGCCTACAGTGTCTGCAGGGCCTACAGTGCCTGCAGTACCTACAGTGTCTGCAGTGCCTACAGTGTCCATCCCTTTCAAAACCAAGAGTGACCATCCAGATGGTCTGCATTCCTAATTAGATGACCACTTCTTTATTTGATGACCTTGGGCAAGGTAACTTCCCTCCAGGTTTAGACACTGTCTATGAATAGCACTGGCACTACATCATGAGGGTCAGGACTTAAACAGTACTGCCTGTCATGTGAGGCACATTCTCTAGTAGTAGCTGCCACTGATGTTGATGATGACAGATGATGACAATGTGGACAAATGCCTCTTCATCAGACATCTGCCTAAGCAGACAGCCAGAATCCTGCTCCAGGGACAATGAAGGATTTGGAGGAACTCGGAACCATCCCTGTCCCAGGGGACAATGTCTCAGGGTTTCTGCTGTGTGTGGTGAGGAAGTCTCTAGCACAGATGTCAGCCAGAACTATGCAAGGACTAGTGGCAACAAGATTGGTGAGAGACAGAACTCAGCAGGGTCTCTGCTGTTACTGGGCTCCTTGCTTCTTTAAGGGTTTTGAGACTTGGCTAACTCACAGTTAATGACCTTTATCTTTGACCCTAGAAAGATAATGGCTCAGGTGTCTGACACATAAAGGACAACCAAGTCACACAATCTTGTGATATCCTGGGGAAGACAGTTACAGTGTAGACTACTCAAGATGCTGCAAAAAGCTATGGGGGGGGGAGTTGAAGAAGGGCCACATTATGGAATATCAAAGACCCTGTACCTCAAGGATAAGCCTAGATATGGCAGGAAAAAAAAGGTCACCTGAGGATACATTGATATAACTTCCCAACATCTAAGAAAAGAAAAACCCACAATACTTAGTACTTCTCCATTCATGGCAGGGAATTCATTAACTAAGCATTTCTCTTGTTAGACATTAAACAATGCCAACTTAATTATACCCAGAGACAAAATGCTTGACACTTCCTTTTTTCTAATAGTCAGGAACAAGAATTCACAAACAGCCTCTACATGCAAGAAATAATAAATGGCTCCAAATGCACAGAAAAATCCCTGGTGGTCATCAGAAATCTCCCATTCTGTTAGCATATCCACACAAAGGCTGGGGTCACCTTTTCCTCATTTCTGGTGCAGTACACAGTGTATGAAATGGGATTTGGTGGTTATATTCTTCTCTTATCTGCTTTTTAGACCAGAAACCCTTGAGGCAAAAGCTTATGTGATTTCTTCTATAATTCACACAGTCCTAGACACATCTACTGGGCTGTTTATTATTCAAGGTACAACAGCAGAATAAGAAAGAAACGGAGAGGAAGAGGCTGAAAGTGAAGGCCCCTCAAAGCTCAAAGAAGAGCAGGCAATTCATGGATTTTGGCTGTTTTGTTTTGTTTTCCCCCGAGACAGGGTTTCTCCTTGTAGCTTTGTAGCCTTTCCTGGTACTCGCTCGGGAGACCAGACTGGCCTTGATTCTGCTGGTTTTTAACATTTGCAGGGGAAGCAGCAGTAAAGCACTAGATTATTTGAAAGAGCTTGCTTGGAGTAGTAAGAAGAGGAAAGAGGTACCTTCTATTTGATATTTTAAGCTTAAAATTGGATACAAATGATTCTTAAAATCATGAGTGTGCCTACTAAGGCAGACTGTGGTCAGACTTCATTTTCATCAATGGCAATGTGATTTAAGCTGGTAAGGCTCAAAGGCTGGTGATTTATTTTCTGTTTCAGATTTCAGCTATGATTAATAGATGATTTTCAAGCTGCCTGGAATACTAACATTTCGGAGGTCAGAATTCAGTTACTGAGAATGCATTTTAACTGATAGCTAAACCCAAAAGCCATGGCCCAAAGCTTTCCCTAGAGCGTTCTGATTATTACACAATTTCATCAAATCACTTTGACTCTTGATATGTCTTTTTTGGAAAAGGATCACCATGCCCCATCCCCATAAAATCATATGTCATCCGATAGCCTTCATCCAGCAGCTGGTGGAAGTAGAAGCAGACACCCACAGCTAATCACTGAACTGAACTGGAATCCGGTTGCAAAGAAGTAGGAGTGATGAGCAAAGGGGTCCAGACCAGGCTGGTGAAACCCACAGAAACAGCAAACCGGAACAAGGGGGAGCTCTTGGTCCCCAGACTGATAGCATGGGACTGATCCAGACCCCAGGAACTTGGGTGTCAGTGAGGAGAACTCAGAAATCATGGGGCCTTCTGTAATAGATCAGTCCTTATCCCTAGCATAGGTGTGGACTTCGGGAGCCCATTCTACATAGAGGGATACTCCCTGAGCCAAGACACACAGGGGTGGGCCTAGGCCCTATCCCAAAGGAGCTGATAGACTCTGAAGATCCCCTATGGAAGGCCTCCCCCTCCCTGGGGAGAAGAAGGGGTATGGGATAGGTAGGGTTTTAGTTGGGGGGGGGTAGTTGGGGAGGATGGGAGGGAGAGGGAACTGGTATTAACATGTAAAACAATCTTGTTTCTAATTCAAATAAAAAAATGGAGAAAAAAAATCAATAAGCAAGAGGAGCCAAGTTCCCGGTGAGCAAGAGATCAGCAAGAGCATAATGAAGGGATGTTTAGTCACACTAGATGTTTCTGGCTTCCACAATAGTGTCTCGAAGCTCCAGATAATTAGTCACAGCAACAGCAAATTCAAGTTGACCACAAGCTATATTTCATATGATACCGTGTCTTACAACATTAAAATCAATCATATTTTAGTATGTGTAGACCCTATTTAAAACATGCTAGAAAAATCACTTTGCTAAGCAACCTTTCAGCCCTCTTGTCCCCAACACTTCAAAAACGGAGTGTTTGGGATAGAGTCTTGGAAGGTAACGGCATTCAGAAGGTCTTACTCAATCAAACTCATTGTGCAACTGTGTACTCTGCACTAGATTTCAACTGCCACAGAATGGGAATGACACTTACAGCAGCCATGGAATTGAGCTGATCAATGTAGAACTCAGGCCAACTTGTTGCTCCCTTGTTTTCTTCCTGGTCCTATGAAAAAGGGAGAGAGAGAAAAAGTCAGAAACTACAAAAAGGTGATATACTGCAAAGGTCCACACATAGCAGTATATCTGGTGTGCCATGCATCAGGATAGTGGTCTGCAAAGCCACCAGAATACAGCAGATACTTATTTATAATACCAGGTCATCTACTTGACTAGAATGTTCTTCCCAATCTGAGGGAGGAAGGGAGGGTTGGAGGGATGGAGGGAGAGAGGGAGAGAAGAGAAGGAGAGGGAGAGGGAGAGGGAGAGGGAGAGGGAGATATGACTAAAGGACATGTTCTAACCCATGGAGGATTCACACCAGGGTTAGTTTTTTCCTTTAGGGACATAATGACATGGGGAAGGGCATTTCAGGCCCCATATCACACTGAGAACTATACTGGGACTACATATCTGCCTGAAATTCAAGAGTGAAGGAGACCGGCCTCAACACGGCAGGCATGGCCAGTTGATGACCAGACTTTTTCAGGCTGTTACTCATAGTCCAGCAGTCATTATCATTTTTGAAGTAAGATTTCAGTTGATGTGGCCTAAAGTAGGGTACTGACATTGGGTGGAAGTAATAAAAAGAACACACGTTAGTCCCAGGCACAGTTCTTCTGATAACCTAGCTCAGGAGTTTTGGTAGAAAATAGATTATGTCTCTGCTAAAAAGAACAGAAACCTACTCCCAAAGCACCTCAGCTTGTTGTGTCCCACAAACCAGAGTGACTTGGAGCCAGAACGGGGCGGGGAGGGGGGAGAATGTGTGGATGGGGGGCCACTGACTAGCCTGAGCCGAAAACTCCAGGAGCACCTGCTCACTGTAGTTTCTGCTGCAGACACATCATGCTCATGCACGAGACACACTGTGTGCAGTTTCTATGCATCTCTGCACACCCTTGTGTCTGTGAGACATTCATGTTAACAGGGCTGAGAAATAGCACAGTAGCCCCCTATCTTCACATTCGGGGAGCACCCTGATATAATGGGTTAGCTCTGTGTCCTTGGAGAAGACACTGCCATGTACACACAGCTGCTGTGTGATGCTCAAGTGGTTCTTAGCTGCTTCAGGGTTCTTAGTTTCAGTAGCCCACATATATACATGTAGACATACACATTCTGGTTCTTGGGAGAGCTTTTAATTTTAGTCTTAGACTTTATGTCTGCCCACGCCACCCACCCCCAACCCCCATCTCTGTTACCCAGGCTGGCCTCAACTTTAGAGTAATACTCCTGCCTTAGTTTTCCAAGTGCTGAGATTATACTTGTGAGCCACCATACCCAACACCACCCACACACACATACACACACACTGCACTTTCTCTAGCAAATACTTCTAAGTGGGTCTACTCAGCTATGATAAAAGAAATACAATTCAAAACTATTTTCAAGTCATCATAACAAGAAGGCAAGTGGCTGTCTACAGGGCCACCCGAGTGGGTAGTAACAGATGTAGAGCTAGACGACAAGGGCCAAGGTGGGCTACTGCAGTGACTTTGAAGTTGGGCTGAATTACACTCTTGTGATTTAGAACTATTCAGGAAGTCTGATGAGTTTTTAGAACAGCTCTTGGTTATAATTTAACATGTTAATAAAAGAGCTATGGTGGCTGCATAAATGCTGAACCCAACTTTCCTCTTAAAGGGAGCATTAAAATTAGCAAAACCCTGCTGTTACTAATGTACTTAACAAGCCAAAACCCACAGTGATATTCAATGGTATTTGGACCTATAAAATGAAATAGAAGGTGCCAGATCTTTCTATTCTCCCAAAACTAGGGCAAATTTCCAAAGCAAACAAGAATCAAGTCCCATGTCCAAGGTTCTACAAGAGCCTGTCTGTTGTAAGCTTCATAGTCCTGGATACAAAACAGAGATTATTTTAGAAACTGAAGACTAGAGCACAGAAGGAAGACTTTGCATTTTTGAAATGTTTTAATAATACCAGCAGTTAAGAGTAGATATTCTAGTCAAAATGGGGCACTTTTCACTTCACATGTTCCTTGCTGAGAAGATCACACATGCCATGTGTGTGAATGAGCTGGTTGATGCTGCTCTGGCAGTAGGAGGCAGGGGGATTCTCAAAGCTCTTCCTCTTGGCCATGAAGCTTGAGCTGCCTGTCCCGGTCCTCACATACAGAAGCATGCAACAGTAGCCAGAGGAAACACAAGTTTGAGTCAGCGTTCTCCTTCTAGTGTAAGAGATTGTTAGAAGTCTATAGTTCTCACTGGCTAGTCAGAAAGAAATGAACCAACTGTTCTGGTGGGGGGGGGCATCCTATAAAGAACCCAGGATGCTCAGACACACAAAGGAGAAGACATGTTTAAGGCATACAATCTTCCTGGTGACAAGTGTGTCCTTGCTAAGAGAAGCATGTCCTGTGCCTCTGACATGTATTATTCTTTGGGCCATCTATCTCAGTTCCATTTTCTTACTTCAGGGAAGAAGCAGTTAAGATAGTCAAGATTATAGAGACACATCAAGGGTGATAGAAGCAACAGCAATACCCAGCACTTATACAGCTTGTTATGTGTCAGACCTTGTTGTAAATATTACCATTTCCTTCAGTCTGCTTTCATGAGTCATATGAAATGTTATCATATCATTTTGATGAAGAAGAGAGGGCAAGGAAAGACTAAACTGAAGGAGTGGAAAAGAGGTATTGGGGAAGGGTCAGGGTGCACTCTCTCCTAAGATTAGACCTAGAAGGCCTCGTGAGCCATGGAAGATAAATATAAGGCTGCCTTCCATTTTTAACCATTTCGCTGCAAGAGAATTGGAATAGGGTCAGCAGACAAAAACAGTTCACCTTTCCTCACACTTTATTCTGCCACATTGGTTCTAAGGTCTGATGTCTTACCCAGATTAGCTCTACTCTGCCCTCTATACACTACTTGAGGAGTTCCTCGATCCCTCCATCCATGCCATTATGTATACACATATCTGTTCTCAGAGAGCAGCTAAAAAGCTTTCCTTTAACCTTTCTGTTCTGTCACCCCAGGCCCCGATACAGGTGGCCTTCCTGGAGACTTCTCTGTAAAACTTAAAATTAGCTATTAACCATGCAGTTCTGGACCCTGGGATTGCATATAAGAACCTTCTTCAATCACTCAGCTAACCCTATTCATGCCACTTTCTTTACCAATCCCATTACAGCATTTATCTAAACAAGAATACTAGCTTATTACAGTCTGAAAAACAAGATTTTTCCCTCTCTTAAGATAGACTATTGTAGCCATGTATGGTATATAAAACCTATAATCTTAGCATTTGGGAGACTGAAGCAAGAGGATCCTGAGGTTGAAGCCAATCTGAGAACTGTAGTAAGGTCTATTTCAAAAACAAAATAAGACCCCCCAAAATAGATTATTGGCCACAGTTCATGATACTGAGAAAAGTAGTTTTAAGTGACTACTTCATATTAAATGTTCTCTCTAGTGTACCCAAACATTAAAATCTAGTTTTGTGTCCTAGTTTGCTTTAACTGTCAACTTGATACAATCTAGAACTCACTTGAGAACTTCAGTTGAGGAATTCCCTAGTATCAAACTGGCATGTGGACTGTCTGGGCTATTAACTGATATAGGAGGGCTCAGCCCACTATGGGCAGTACATTTTCTGGGCAAGTGGTCCTGGGCTGTACAAGGAAACTAGCTGAGAATGAACCATCAGGAAGCATTCTTCTGTGGTTCCTGCTGTACCTCTGTGATGGTTGTTATGTTTGAAGTTACTGTGTTTCAGAGATCTATAAAACAAAAATGCCTCTCACCTATAAATCCCACTTGCCCAAGGACAGATAACTTCCTGGGATGCTGGGGGGCTGTTGTTCAGATAAGGTAACAAATCATGTGTTTTTGCTTCTGTAAACAAGCTTGGTTGCCCCCATTTGCACAGGATGTGTGCTTGATCACATGTAGGCAAGAAATAAATAGCATTGTGATTTTGCCTCTATAAGCCTTTGACTAATGTAATTCAGTGGCATAATCTGAGCATCTAGAGTCTTGGGTATGGTCCTAGACAGTATTTAATAAAATTACTTATTAAATTTACTCATGGTCATAGTGAATCTCTGAGCCACGCCAGAGCCTAACACCTCTCTTTGTCTGTTAAGTGAGTTCCTGGGGGAGTTAACACTGTGTGCACAGTTAAGTCAGCCTGCCTCCAAGTTCCTGCTTGAGTTTTTGCCTTGACTGCCCTCACTCATAGATGGTGATCTGTATACTGAAACAAATCTTTTACCCTCTAACTGCATTCTGCGCTGGACTGTGACACAACACAGGATCAAAGTAGGACTTTGTTCCCTGAAAACATTACACACATTTAAGTTTGCCAGAATTATCTTCACGTCTGCTAGAGAATTAGAACAGAAATAAGTGTCTGAATTTATTAATTTCTCTGCTGGTTTGTTATTTTGTGGGTGGGGTTGAGAATGTGTACATATGCCACTAATGTTTAGAGATATGGTATGATGGGAAGGCCACCAATTCAGCCATCTGAAGATGGGATTCTAGAACCTTCCTTTTTATTCACTGAGTTGGCAGTTTGGGTAAATGCAAATATATCTGGGGTTATTTTCCTTCTCTCCAAAATAGGAGAGTGCGGTCAGAATGTTTCTGAAGTTCCTGCAATCTCTAAACTAGTGGGAACTTTATAGTTTTAGATTCCAATTTTGTGGGGACACAACCTCTACTTAATTTCATGCCTTAACTTCTAATACCAATAACTTGCAAAAATTTACATTGTCTAATGACTCAGTTGCAGAGCTATTCATTTTCAAAAGTTACTCCAATGGTAATTCAATAGACACCCAGGTCTTTGTTACCTTGTGATTTTTTTTTTTTTTTAAATTCAGTTCTTCCTGTTTCATTAGGAGGCCTTCAGACATTACCAGAATACTGATGGCTGAGACTGCCTGCTGAACATAACTCACCTTTGACACTTTGCCCCCACCCTGCATCGACTATTGTTTAACCCCCTTTTCTTAGCGTGTGTGTGTGTGTGTGTGTGTGTGTGTGTGTGTGTGTGTGCGCGCGCGCGCGCGCGCGCATATGCATAAAATCCAGATACTTAGGAGGTAAAGATG